AAAATAGGATTATATCTAGATAGCGAAATTTTTACCCATGGACAACTTATGTTGCTTTATCAAGAGCTACAACTCTAAAAGGATTGCATATACTAATTCATGATTCAATTAATAAATATCCAAATTATATAAAAAATATTGTTTACAAAGAAATTTTACATAATATCAAATAAAGAAATAAAACACCAGATAAAAATATAAATATTATAATAAATTAAATATTAGATTCATAATCTTTTTTTATAATTAAAATTATTTACTATTAATCTATAAAAAAACATATTGAATAAAGCTTCTTATTTTTATACACTAAAACAATTACCTTTTTTTGCCAACAGTTAGCCAAAATGACAACATTAATTCGAGTCCTAAAATCAAATGAAGTTTATGAAACTATCAGGGCTAGAATCTGCAGAATATGGACGAATAATGATCTGAGTACTAGACGTTTGATCAGTCTTGACTGTGTTTTAGTCGACGAAGAGGTAATATTTTTTACCAAATACAATATTCTATTATTTTTCATTTAATACCAAATATTATAAATCAAATAACAATACTACTTTTTATATCTGCAGCATGAAGCAATTCAATGATCAATTTGGGCACGAGATTCAATACTATTTACCAAAAAGTCCAATTAGGCAATATATATGATATTAGCAACTTCTTCGTCACAGAGAACAAATCAACATACAAAGTTGTGCCACATATTGCAATGCTACAGTTTGTCCGCGCAACAGTGTTCGTTCCAGTTACAGAAGAAGCACCACCTATTCCATTTCATAGATTTTACTTCATCGAATTCGATCAGCTTCAGCACAGAATTCAGTCGACTGAAATCTTAAGTGGTAAGATAAAATTACTTTTTCCAAAAAAAAAAAATTACATCATTAATGTCTTAATTAATGTCTTTAACATTTACTATTTATTTTCCAACAGATGTCATCGGTGTTCTTACAAGAGTGCAAACAATTGAACAAACAAATATCAACAATAGACAAACATCTCGACGGACTATAATGATACAAAAGATAAGGTAAATTAACTTTTCACAGTCATTACTGCAATCATATAAAAAGATTTATATTTAATAAAAGTATAAAACTTTTACATCATTTAAAACTCTTCATTCTAACTTTTTTATTTTATCTTTTTTTTTTCTCACAGAAACTAACAGCTTCAAGTCACATTATGGGGACATAAAGCAAATCAATTTGACGAAAATGTCATTAAATCAATAAAAGGACTAGTGGTTGCAGTTTTTGCAGCAATGTTGGTGAAACAATATCTAGGTATTTTTTTTAACAACTTATAAAAATAATAACATATAAAATAAAGTATTTACATCTAATAAACCAAAATATTAACCTATTTATTGCTTATGTTTAAGGCAATGCATATGTATCAAGTACTGTACCAACAATCTTCTATCTTGATCCAGACATACCAGAAACACAAATATTAAAAACAAGGTAAGAAACAAATCCCCAAACTTTAAAAACAACAAATTTTATGCAAATTTTTTCATAATAATAATTAATTATATATATATATATATATTCTCTCAGCAACCTCAAGAAATTGAGTTCTCAACAGCATCAATACAATTTATTGAAGAGCAAAAAACACTGAATAGGAGAACAATTGATGAACTAAAGACATTGGATCAGGAAAACAACCAAGTTAGTATCATAATATTCTATCCATTTCTTTTCCTTTAATTACATTATTTAATCTAAAAATCTTTTCACATGTATATAGGGAACTAAATTCACAGTAAAGGCTACTATAGCTAAATTCTCAGCAAATCAAGGTTGGTATTATAACTCCTGCCCTAGATGCTATCAACAGCTCAAACATGCGGGAACCAAATGGTGGTGCGATAGCCATGGACACATAAAGACAACACCATCTCCATGGTAATTAAAACTATAAATATACTATAATTAAATTTTATTTACTTTGATTAGCCAAAATAAATACTTTATAACATAAATTATCTATTATCTTATAAATTGCAGGTATAGACTAAGTGCATCTATTGAGGATCATACTGGAAACATGGATATCACCATATTTGACAGAACCGCACAAGCTTTGATAAAAAAAAAACCATGCTTAACATTAATAATTGACGAAGGATTTATAGATTTATTCACAATCCCACCAGTCATCAACCAACTAAGAGGTGAAACAAAGATCTTCCAAATATATTTTCAAAGAAAAGGACCTCAAATTGCTACAATTGTCTCAAAAATACTTGAAGAAACTGAATTGATAACAGTACCACCACAAAATATCAGCACATGCAATATCAACTACAAGGAAAACATATTTACTCATCTTTATTAATTATATATAAACAAACATATTTCTTACTTTAAATACATATTTAAACAATATTTTACAGGCCTAGCCCCCGCTCAAGCACAACAACATCAATAGATCCACATACACTAGACCCAAAAAAATCAACCACCAGGTAATACATATTTACTATTTTACATTATTTATAAATAAAAAGCAATACTTATAATTTCAAATACATAATTTATTAACTTTTTATTATTACAGCTCCAAAGGCAAAGGAATAGAACAGGCAAAAAAATATCCACGAACTAGGTAATATAACTACTTCTAAATCTTACTATTTCTAAATCTTACTATTTCTAATTTTTTCAATTACTAATACTAATATCTTTTAAAATTTATATTTTACAGTTGAAAAAAAACAGCGGAACCACAACAGCAAAGAAAAAGAAAGAGTTATATATATATATATATTGTAAATAACTTTATATAATAATATGTTATATATGTATTGTATATATATATGTATATATGTATTTATTGTAAATAACTTCATATAGGAGTCCTATGTATATATTCGTGTATAAATATACATAAATAATCTATTTCTATTGTATACAAATTACTAACTTTTTTTAACATACAAAATTATCTTCTACTGCAATGCGCGTAAACGCGCGCGTCCATGGCTAGTTCATGTTAAAAAGAACAAGAGAAAAGATTGAGTGGGTACAAAGGAAATGGTTAAACTAATTCAATGGGATTTTTACCCTAAAAAACACTATACTAACCATCTTTTTTTTCTCTTGAATTTTTCCAACAAAAGAAATACATAAAATTTTCTTAGTATTTTTCAGTCTAAAAAATACTGGCAATACATAAGTCTCGTTCATTTCATCGATTTGAATTTTTAACTCTAAGTTTCTAGAATTAAAAACTCTCAAAAAATGTAACTTTTTCTACTACAGTTAAAAACTTTAAAAAAATATCATATCTAAACTTAAATTGAAAACTCAAATTCGCGAAACGAACGATGCCATAAATTCGTTAACTGACTCCATTAACTATACGCTTCCCTGGCGCACGTGCCATGGTCTCCTGTCGACAGCACCCACAAACCAAATGACTCTTCAGGGTTGTTTGGTTGGGGGATTCGTTCCCTTATTCGAATCATGGTTCGTGGTTCGCTACAGTATTTTCTTTTACAAAAAATACACGTAAATTAAAAATGGTTATAATCCATGAACTAAACATCTCTTTCGTCACTGATCTACAAAAAGCGAACATTCTCCTCATTCATCACTGAGGTTACCGCCGCCAGCGCTGCCTAAAGGCTACAATTTTTCTTATGTGTGTCCTTCCTTCTATTGCATCTCCACTACACAGCTCAGAAAGTTATTGTGAACGCAGATGACTGAGAAAATAGACAATGAAAGCCATGATCTTGATGGATAACGACACATTTGTTGGACTTGGATGTGACTTTACTTACAATTGCACTTGCCTTCAGCCGAAGCACTACTCTGAATTTTAAGCCTTTACTTTTTCTGATGGCTGCTCATTTACACTCTGTTTGGGTGGAGTGAAAAAGATAGAGGAAAGAAATTGAAAGAAGGATTTTAGGGAGGAAAAATGAATTTTAGATTTTTAATAGAGAAAAAATGAGAAAGGAAGGAAGTTATAAATCCATGTGGCTCTATACTTTTCATTCCTTTCAATTTTAGAAAGAAAATAGGAGAGAAAAATTTAACAAGCAAAAATGATGTAATATGATTATTATGCACTTAAACAATTCACTATATTTTTATTTATATAAATATATTATTGTAAAATAATTTAAATTTAACATTTTTTTTTCATTTTTCTTTCTCTTCTATCAAACAACATGAAGAAAAATCTCATTTCTATAATTTTACTTCTTTCACTTTAATATTTTATTTATCCTTTCTCTCTATTTTCCTTCCCTCTTACTAAACATTGTAGGTGATTGTAGCACCTTGTATGATTCTTGAGAAATTTCCAGCAAATTAGACTTACTGTTGCAAATTTATTTTATTGCTTTAATTTGTTTTCAACACTATTCACTCGTCATATAGGAAGCGGAGATTCAAATTGAAAAAAATAAATAAATAAAGAGAGAGAATATTATGGTTGTCAAAAAAAAAAAAAGAGAGAAAATGGTAGCACCTTGTTAATATTATTCGGGGACTTAAAAGTAAACTTATAAATAGGCCTTTCAAATACAAGACAATCAAAAAGAAAAATATTTTCTTAGTTAATTCTATACTTGCAAGGTGCACCTTTTTATCATACGCTTTTAAAATAAAAGAAGCACTATGCATCATTTTGACGCCAGATTCAGTCAATTATTTTTTTATCTTTTCTATCGATTTTAAAAACTTTAAAGATATTTTTTGTGATTAAATTAGTTTTTCTAATTTAAATTTGGAGCGATCTTTTCCTTTTAGTAAAAATAAATATATTTCTAAAATATTTGAAATGAAAATTTTAAATAATTGTTCTGCAAAATTACATCCGGACCCAATAACTTTTAAAATTACGTTTTCACCCTTGAAGTTTCTGAATTTTACAAAAGTGCCCCAACCTGATATCTGAACTTCTTTCTCACGTGCCTTTGTATCCAATCACTTCTTTCCCTCGCCTCTCTCTCTCTCTTCTTCCTTTTTTTTTTCCTTTTCCTCCCACTCTCTCTCTAACTCTTCTCTTCTGCTCTTCACGGAAGCATAACCGAAGGTTTCTTTCCTTGGCTTCACCACCAAGAGCTTCCCACTGAGTAGAAGGCCAATTTCTGCACCGAATCTTTTTGGAGCCAGGAGATATTGAGGTAAGGGTTTTTTGAATGATTTTAATCCTTTTTTTTTTAATACATTACGAGTTAATGGAAATTTTGAAGTTCTTTTTTTTTAATTTTGTTTAGGAATTTGGTGATATTAGCACCTAATTGTCTCTCTCTAACCTGATTGTCTCTCTTTAACCTGATTGTTTCACTGATTGTTCACGCGTTTAGTAAGTGTGCAGTTTAAATTATATTTCTGTTTGAATTGAGTTAAACAGTCTAATTTAGAGTTTATATCTCCTCAAGTGTAACAGTTTAAATTATTTTTTAACAGTAAAAAGTGTTCTTTCTCTCTATTTTTCACACTTAAACATAAATTTATTTCCTATTCAAATTTAAACTTTAATTATACATTCAAATATTAATTTAAAATACAATTTAAAGTTTAAATTTTTCTGATCAAATTAAAAATTTAAACTAATAAAATTTAAATTAACGAACTAAACAAGGGTTTATGGAATACATATGCACTTTTACTCAAAGCTTATGTATTTAATTCTATCAAATCTTAGTAAAAAAAAAAAAGCTAAAATGTCCAAATAGTTATCGCCATCGATATTTGTAAGCTACATTCTAAACCGCTAATTTAATATGAGAATTGGTAATTGTGTGTATGAAAACAAGTGGAGAAAGCTGAGTTAGGAAGTCAAGAGAGAGTATTTAAGCTGGAATGGAAGCTTGAACTTTATTTTTCGTATACATTGCCAATATAATGCTTAATTTATGCAAATTCATCAATTATGACATGTTTATTAACTTTGAAGGAATTGAAATGGAAAGGGAAAGGTGTTGGAAATGAAAGAAAAAACATTACCTACGAGGATTATTCATTACGTTTCTAGTGCTTAATTGTTTGTTTAATTATTGATTACATTTTTATTGTTTTATTGTTACTTTACATTTCAAACCTTTTTGCCACAGCGTTTTATCTCACTGAAGTTTTGAATTTCTGTTCAAACATATGAACCAAACAGGCATTTAATTATTAGGAAACAGTCCAATTCTCTTTCATTTTAGGAAGGCTATACAACTAATTTTGTAGTTTATTCCAATGGAAAGGGAAACAATACTCTGGGTAACTTAAGATTAATTTTTCCTTTCCTCATTCTATACAATACGGGGGGGCCCATCACGTGGGTCCATTCCTCATTTTGTAAGTAAACACGTAAATAGATGAGAAAATAAAGCGTTCCTTCCTTTGCCTTTCCCAGTCATGACAAGTAAACACGCCATAAAGGTGGAAAATTTGTATAGTTGTATTCGAGTTAGGAGATTGTGGTGACTTGTGAGAGTCCATTAAGGAAGCTTATGAACTTTTGACTTCTCCATTAGCATTGATTTGTGGGAGTATTGTCACGTGATTTAATGTGGTCTCAGGAATTATAAGTGTGGGATGGTGAAGCTAGGACCGTCTTTGAGACATTTGAGCATGTATGGTTACCCAATGCTAGGGAAGGGCCTCTAACCGTACTCCAGCTCTTATACATGCTGCTACTATGGTAGCGGTTGGAATTTTTCTTGGAGCTCGGCTTCTTCAGCTTTTCATTGTTATCCCTTAGATAATGAATCTAATAGCTTTGTTAGGTATAATAACATTACTTTTTGGGGGAATTATATGAAACATTTTCTTGCGTGTTAAGAGTTCGTTTCTCTTTTATTTTGCAGGATAGGCATTCTGGTTGATTTTGGTAGTGGAATATTAGAATGATACATGCTGCGAGTTTGTCCTCTTCGGGGCTCTGCACATTTGGCTTGAGACCTCAAGCAACAGGGTCGAGTGGAAAATTTGGAGACTTCTCTATACAATCCTCACCTGGGCGTTTTCGCGTTCGAGCTGTGCAAGAGAATGGAGGGCCTAGGAGACTGGTTGATATTATCAGAGTTGTGCCTGAGCTCTCAAGAAACTATTTTCAAAGTCCCTCTCGGAGGGCTCTCTTTGGGGGAATCTCTTTGCTCGGAGGCTTCTATGTTGCACAGACGATCTCTCTGTCTTTTGGGGCTTTAGGAGTGAATGATGTTATAGCCGCGGTGTTGTGCGTCCTCCTGACTGAGTACGTTACGAAGTTCTACTACAGCCGCCCGAAAATAACATTTCCTGTTGCTCTTCTTAACAATTTCAAGATGGGATTTACGTATGGTCTCTTCATTGATGCTTTTAAGCTGGCAAGTTAGCACCATTTGAGGTACACTTAACAGTCTTTACAAAAGACCATCTGAATTTTTGAATCTGTGATCTTCCTAATGTTCATATATAGTCCTTCTGCAGTATATTGTTGAGCCTTCTCAAATTCCGCTTTCATTTTTCAAGCAAATTGCAACATGTATATTCTACCGTGTAAATGGATATTGTTATATAACTTGAACTTCTGAGTTTTGGACGAAAGCTGATAATCACTCAATTATTTATTTTAAGTCCTTTTGATGAAATCCCACCATAATATGCCTAAGTGATATTTTGAAGTTTTGAACTTGAGCAATGGGGGAATTTGGATTGCAAACCTCACATTGTAAGTTGGTCTGAAACTACTGTCAGGCTAGGCCTACAACTACTTTAAGGCGATCTTAATTTGCCTTGATTAGTGTTCTTGTTTATGCCACTGTGAAATTCCATTTTCTGTTACTTTCTTTTGCAAGGAATGTACAATAACTCATTGAATTATTTCTAAAAATACTCCCTCGTAATGTTTCTAATCTCATTTTGCTCCCGAAACATCAAAACTTGCCACTTAGATCCATCAAACAATTCTCTGTTTACATTCATAATGGTTAAGAGATTTCTACGGTAGGACATGGAAAAATAAACTCAGTATATCTTAAATAATCTTTGTATTTAAGCTGTCAAATTTGTATTAAAAACTATCTGTTACACACATATATATATATATATATATGTATATATTTGCTAATTGATGTGACTTTTATCGTATGAAACGACCAGAAATGTTCACATGGGCGATCGTTTCTGTTTTTGTTTTTTTAACCCACTTTGGTGATTATTTACAAATGAAATCCAATCCATATATTTTCTTTGCAATGGGTAATCATTGGATTTTCTGTTTCCTGATCTGCTCTTTAGTTTTCCTTCTTAAGATCTGATGTGTTTGTGTTGTTGAAGAATATAAATGTGAAGATATGAACTTGATCAAAGTTTATATTGGAGAATCTAATTAATTTGATGATTTTTTTCTGGAACTGTGGGTTGGGTCTTGTTATTTTCTAATAGACGTGTTTTTCTTCTCTTTTCTTTTTTATTTTCATTTTAATTGTTGTAAAAAGTATGATCTTTTGTTAATTTATTAAAGTGCCCTCCTAAATCAGATCACATACGATGCACATGATCATTTCTGTTAAAAAGTTACGGTTTGGATAGAAAGGGTAAAATTGCCACTGTCTTAGCAGTTTGAGTGTTGTTTTGTTAACTTTTTTTTTTTTAAAATAAGAGTGATTAAAATGTCACCTATTAAAGAGTTTAGAGACTAATGGTACTAGATACTCTAAAAATAATTATCAATTTGTCAATACTAATAACTTAACAAAAATTACATAATATGGATCCACTCCAAAGGCAGCCATAATTGTTAAATATTGAATGGCTTTTTCACACCTCCAACAAAGCTGGTAAATTCAAAATAATAATAATAATAATAATAATAAAAATACTATTATCATTGATGACTTCTTAAATCTATGAAACGTCAGCAATGGCGTGTCAGGTAGGCGAGGTTCTACAAATGTTAATGTATCCCATCTACGCTTGATGAGCCACAAAAAAAAAAAAAAAAAAAAGCTTCAATTGCATTTTTAAGTTATGATAATTTAAGTGTAAATTTTGAGTTAAATTTAAATTATAATTTAAGTTTGTGTTTAGTTGTGTATATTTGAGTTATAGTTTGAGATGAAAATCTTTTGGAGTTTATATTTGAGTGGGTTAAAATTTAAGTTTGTATTTATATAGTATTTTAATAAAAACTTAATAATGATAAAAAATTTTAATAGGATATATGGATGGAGTTTTATTTATTGTGAATGCATAAAAAAAGAATCATCTCAATAAGAATTAAAACGAAAAAGTTATAACGTTTTTAAAAATAAAAAAAATATTACCATTAACTTGAATTTGAGTTTAAAAATTTGAGTTAAAGGAGAAATTTAAACTCAGATTTTAACCTCAAACTCAAGTTAAAATTAAATTTAAAATTTTAATACAGACTCAAATTTTATAAAAGAACATAAACTTAAATAAAATATAATAAAAATGAATAAAAAATTATTGTCGAATTGGACTCAACGATACAAGTTTATACCGTTTCATGACAAGTTTGTCCATCTTTTTTACTTCTTTGCAATTAGCGAAGGCCAAAATATGTTATAATTCTACATCAAGGAAAAATGATCAAAATTTCAACTTTTCTCTGTACCACTTTATTCATCTTTCTTGTTGTAAATATGGTTGAGTGGTACTATAATCCTAATAGATTCCCACACGCAATTCTAAATCCTCAAATTATTCAAGATTAACATACTTGAATTTAACATTTTTCTTGTCGTTACTTGAATTTAAGATTTTTTGGGATGTTTATGTAATTATCATTTTCTTTATGTTTCTGTTTTTTTTTTTTTTTTTTTTTTTAGCGTTTTTTTCCCCGGGTTTTTTTTTTTTTTCTTTTTTTTTTTTTTTTTTTTTTTTTCAGACGTTTTCTTCGCTGGATTTGCAGTAATAGGAGCAGTTTCAGAGTGTAGGCAAAAAAGAAGCCAAACATGGACGGGGAGTTGTTCATGGTTTTCATCGTCAAGCTGTAATAAGCAGTGCATGTCTTGGGAGAATGCAACTCATGGAGCATGTCATGGGTTAATCTCTCGTCATTGTGATTGCTATTTTGATTGCTGATCATTACGGATATTTCTTCATATAAACCTGCATTGTCAGTGTATAATCAAACTGAAATTGGGGGAAATCATTTTACATTTTATGAGAAATATTAGTATCACTTTTTTTTTGTTATTTTGTACATTTATTGTTTAATTTTTTGTTATTAATTAATATCGATTAATAATTAATCGAAATCAATTAGTAATTTTTCAATTTTGACTCATAAATTACATATTTATTAATAATGAATCATTAATAAATTATAATAAATCGTTTAATTACTGATTAATTGACAGTTAATCACTAATTAGTTACTAAAAAATGACCATTTTGTTAAAATAAGAAAAATTCAGCCATTTGTTTAAAAATATAAAGTTAAGCTATTTATTTAAAAAATGGTAAAAAAAAAAACATTTACTTGATTTTTTGTATTTTTTTAATTTTATTTTGAAATTAGGACTTTTTTTCGGTTAGCTTTTTAATACTTAAAATCATTTTAATAGATGTAATTAGTGCTTAATACCTTTATTTAATACTATGTTTGTTTCGAGGGTTCTGAGTTGGTTTAGGACTATAATTTTTAGTTTACTACAGTGTTTTTCTCTCATAAAAAAAATTAAATTTCAAAAATCAGAATCATGAACCATGATTCTTAACCTATGAACCAAACATCACCTAAATTTAATGGGGTAGAAATGGGAGAGAGTGTGAGGTTTGAATATTTTTAGGTTTTTCATTAATATTTAGATGTTTTAATTAATTTGACATAACAAATATTTATTTTATCCTTTTATGTAACGATCTGCACCCCCACCTAGTATGATATTGTCCGCTTTGGGCCTGAACCAGCACGATTTTACTTTTGGGCTTCACTCCAAAAGGCTTCCACCTAGTTTATAAGGAATGACATCACCTCCTAATAATATGAGGCATTTTAGGGTGAAGCTCAAAAGTAAAACTGTGCAGGCTCAGGCCTAAAATGGACAATATCATACCATGTGTGGATGCGGGTCATTACATTTTAAACTCCACATGTGACTAACACATGCATATTTCTGTCCATTTTGTAACAGCTGTTATTCAAATGACAGTTAAGATTTCGTTTATTTTATCGATTCGAATTTTCAATTTTAAGTTTCTATAATTAAAAACTCTAAAAAAATGTCATATATAATTTATTTTACAATAATTAAAAATTCTTAAAAAATATCACATCTCAATTAAAATTAAAAATTTGAATCCGTAAAATAAATAAGTCTAAAATTTGAAAGCTAATGGTTAAAATTAAAAACTTAAAGAATAACTTAGAGCCCGTTTGGTTGGAGGATTCGTTCTCTGATTCGAATCATGATTCATGGTTCGTTACAATATTTTCTCTCATAAAAAATATACATAAATTCAAAATAATTTTAATCTCATAATTTTAATTTATGAACCAAACAAGCTCTTACTACTATCACAAATGGAGCGGGCAAATATGTTAAAAACCTCAAAAAGAAAGAAAGACGTGTAAATTTCCACGTGGCGTGAAAGTTTCGCATATTCCTCATGATTTAGGCCGGCCGTGCCCATAACTTATCTAATACCTTGAAATTGATGATGAGTTCTCTGTCTGAACTCGGAAAAATGACAAAGCCCACCAATTGCGACTAACATAAATGATTATAAAAAAATTTATTTTATAAAATCAGCCTGAGTTCTCTGTCTCATTTATTTTATTAATTTAAATTTTCATATGATTAAAAAAATTTAAAAAACAGCCTCTTTTAATTTTTTTATTATAATAAAAACTTTTCATATAAAATCACCTTTTAATTTAAATTAAAAATTAAACATAACTAAATACTTCCGCATGAACACACAAGCTACAAAAGTCTGTATATTTTATATATTTTTCTTCACGAAGGAATAAAACTCTGTCATTTGACTCATTTTCATACTCGACAAACATTGTATGTTCTCCAATCATCAAGCCCTAGAAGACCAAAAGCTTTCCTTTTCCATAACAGAAATGGAGCTCAGACCAGGATTATCGGCTCTCGTCACCGGCGGAGCCTCCGGAATTGGTACCGATTTCTCAGTTTCTTCCATCGATTTCGCAATTTCTTTGATTGGAGACGAAACAGATGATTTTTGGTGTGTATTTTGTGTAGTTTGTTCTGAGTTTTGATGAGGTTTCTGATCAATGGCGCGAAATTGATCTGTGTAGGAAAAGCTCTCGCTCTAGCTCTTGGAGGCAAAGGAATATTCGTGACGGTGGTTGATTTCTCCGAGGAAAAGGGAAATGAAGTGGCGAATCTTGTTCGGAAGGAGAATGATAAATTCCATTCGAATTTGGATTTCCCATCGGCTATATTCATAAAGTGCGATGTATCAAGTTCAAGTAAGTGAAAAAAAGAATAAAGACTGATACTTGTTTGCGAATTTTGTGAATGATTTATGTAAGATTGAGTTTGAATTTGTTTATGCTGATCAGGGGATTTGGCTGCGGCGTTTGAGAAGCATGTAGGGACATACGGTGGATTAGATATATGTATAAATAGTGCGGGTATTGGTAATCCGATTCCGTTTCACAAGGATCAAAGTGATGGTCCTTCTTCATGGAGAAAAGTTCTTGGCGTTAATCTCGTTGCTGTTGTTGATTGTACCCGTATCGCGGTATGTTTCGATGTTTACTTCAGTTTCAGCAAAATCTAGTTCAATCCAGATTGTTAAGAAGAGATGTTGTTGTTGTGGCCGCATTAAGCAGATAGTCAGATGCCAGAAAATTATCATTTGGGGCCTATAAGTAATCATTTAAAGTTCATGAACAGATTAAAATCATGCAAGCTGCAAAAAGACCCGGTGTGATCATCAATTTGGGGTCCTCTGCAGGTCTTTATCCTTTGTATTCCGACTCTATCTACACTGCCTCTAAAGGTTTGTTGTCTCTATCTATCATGTTCGGAGTTTCCTAGTTAGAACTTCATTTGGTCCGTTCATGTCTGTTGCGTGAAAACTCACAAGTATATGAATCGCACAAGTAATAAAGTGTACAAGAGTACGGATATCGATCCCACGAGGATTGTGTTTAGCTTTCGTTAAATACCAATATTGATTAGCTTCTAGGATTGCTTTTTATATATTTTTATAACTAAAAGAAAATAAAAATACAAGCAATTGTAAATAATCGAGCTAGGACTTCCTAATTTCCCCTTGATTGCGAAATGCTAAAGCTGTGCTAAAGAAATGCTACAGCATTCTGTACTAGTTAACCAAACTCAAATTTGTGCGTAAAGTTCTTCCGAATTAATTATGACTATAATTCCTCAAACCAATTTCATCATATTCCTATGTGAATCTAGTTCATGGAATTTCAATTTCAAGTTCGGGTTTATTAGGTTATACAAGGTAAACGATATATTCATATACCTTCTACAAATCAATATATTCCTATAATGAACATGCATCATCCATGTAAAGTCCAACCTAAATTAATTTTTCCAAATCAATCTAAGTCTAGTTATACATTTGATTTCCATCAAAAATAGAAATTAAGCAAGTAAATACACATGAATGAACAAGCACAAAAATACCATAAACAATCCAAAAGCAAAAATTAAAACATCACAATCTTAGTTCCACTAGCAGCCTAGCTCACAAAATTAACTAAATAACATCAAGGGTTTCATCATTTATAAATTACAAGAATAAGAGATAAGAAAATGAATGAAAAACCCATTTTAGAAGTTGTCACAAGCTCCAAAACCTCTTCTCAAAATCTTTATCTTCCTCTTTCTTGAAGCTCCAAAATGCCCTCTTCAATGGTGTTTACAAAATAAAATGACCTAAATCTAATAAAATAAAAATATTTATTTTGGAATTTTTTTCTCTCTTGGAAAATTAGCTGAAAAGCCTTATTAAATTGCTTCCTCTTTTTCTCTCGGGTTTTTCTCTGTTTCTTTTCCTTCCTCCTTTTCTTCTTGCGGCCATTGGCATATATGGGCTAAAAAACCCTTCATTTCGTGCACAAAGGAGAGCTGCTAACTGAGCTCAATTGAAGGCCTGCGTTCGGACACGTGGCGCGCATCAATTGGAGGATTCGGATAGAATGGACACACGGCGCCCTCTGGTTCGCTGAGAGAGGGAGGTTACACGCGCCTTTAGATGGAACCACCGCATCGGATCACACGAGCTGCTGAGTGGGGGACAAGTTGGACACGCGGCGTGCTCTGATTCGCTGAAGAGCTGACGCGACCCTGCTGAGACGCGCTCCTGTCTGGGGTGATTCCACGCGCCCGATCTGGACCGTTGACGCTGCGATCCAACGGCTGGAGTGGCGAGTTTTGTGCTGATTTTACTCGCGCACACGAATTCCATTTTGAGGCTAATTCAAATTCGAAATTTTACTTATTTTCTCTTGCATTTCTTTCCCAATTTGGATTTCAATTTGCACTTGAGCCCACCTATCACCAAAATTAAATTACATAATGAGGAAAATAATTATTTTGAAAGGAAACTAAATAAAAATAAAATAAAATAAAATAAAAATACAACTAAAAATAAAATTAATTCCAAATAAAATAAAATGAAATAAAAATAAGGTAAAAATATTAAAAACTAAATAAATTCTCAAGAACAAGCATACTTTTTAATCCACAAAAGAGGCTAAATGACTCCATTTCATGGAGTTATCAATGTCCTTGTTATGATTAACCGTATGCATGCTTTAAGTTTATTGTTATGGATTCGTTCCATATATGGTAATGTTGTGAGGATTTTTGTCTTTCAGGTGGTGTTGTTATGTTTACTAGATCACTTTCTCCCTTTAAACGTCAAGGCATTCGTATTAACGTGTTGTGCCCTGAAGTAAGTCTGTCATTTAATGCTGCTCACGAAAGGGAGAGGGAGAGTGAGAAAAAAAATTTTAGTTCAAAGGGAATATCTCATTGAAACATTATTTAACTTTTTGTACGCAGTTTGTTGAAACTGGCCTGGGTTCAAAGGTGGGTCCCAAATTTATTGGCTTAATGGGAGGCTACGTGCCTATGGAAACGGTGGTTAAAGGTATGTTTATCTTTATTTGTTTATTTATTTATTCTTTCCTTTCTTTTTGAAACTAGTATTTCTTTTGATGTTTTGGCTCCAGTCTTGCTGAATCAAATTAATTGTTCATTCCGAGTTTATTGTTCCCTTTTTAGGTGCTTTTGAGCTTATTACCGATGAAAGTAAAGCTGGTGCCTGCCTATGGATAACAAATCGCAGAGGCACTGAGTATTGGCCAACTCCCTTGGAAGAAGCAAAATACTTGGTTGGCTCTTCTGCGATGAGAAAAAGAACATCTTCACAGAAATTTCCTCTAGACTTTCAACTTCCACATAATTTCAAGAAAATGTGAGTTAATTAAAGTCGAGCTGATTTTCTTCTTTTTATTTTAGTTGTAAGAAACTGCTGGTTAAATTCTTTGGACTCTATTTTTCATCACATGGTTGGATGATGTGACATTCATCTGGGACGTGCATATTAAGTTTGAGTTCCTTGTTGGGATGACAATTATCCCTACATTAGCTATTTGACCTTGTTTTTTCTTGGTTGACCGTTATTTCCTTGACCTGCATAATCATTTCTGAATCAAATGCTTATTGAGGTTGAATATTTGCCTTTCTCAAGAATCAAGATATATCTAACATATATTATAGCGTTGAAATTTATTTATGAATTTTTTATCTTCCCTTTTTGTTCTTCAGAATTGTCCACACTTTAACCCACAATTTTCGAAGTGCTACCCACATTGTCCACTCGCCATTAAGGTTACCAATTGAACCGCATCATGTTCTTCTGAAAATCATTTATGCTGGTGTAAATGCTAGCGACGTAAGTTTGTTCCTACACTTAATGCCTTACATCCATTTGTCCTTTTTATTATTCTTAGGAAATGGGTTCCTTCTTATGCATTCCTGTCTTTCTTCTTTATTTAAATTTTTAAAAATGTCTACTATATTGGTCTGAAGATGGTTTAAGCTGGAAAATTTAGTTGTCTTATGCAATGACACCATCAAATACCCACGAATTGCTGGATTTTAAACTAGTAGGAACTAATGGTATATGTCATGCTGACATGAGATATTTTGATTGTCCTCCCTGTGTGTAGAGGGGTCAATAGGTTTCAAAAACACGAATATATAGACAACCTAGACTTTAATACCATATCAACTTGTTTCAGGGATTCCTCACTTCACCCTCTTTGTATATCACTCATCTCCTAAGCGAACCAATTCCTTTGCCATAGTCAGACCTGTAATAAAGTGATGACAATAATTTAGAATATTTGAGAAACTTAAGTAGTATCTCAAATTGGGGCCACTGTTACTTTTTCTGATGACAAAAGGGATGCTCTTAATTGGAAAACAGATAGGGCTATAAGAAAAAATTCAGGAACAATATGGTTTTACGATTTTTCTTTTATGTTTGCCTACTTATCCTTAGGATGACGAAGTGCAACAGCATTGAGGATTTTTTCCTTTATTGTACAATCACGATTGCATATACCCTGTCTCCACAAGCGTTAGTATCTCTGTCTGACAAGGACATATATGAACAGGTAAATTTCAGCTCTGGGCGTTATTTCAGTGGCAACAGCAATGACCTTGGCGCCCGTCTTCCATTTGATGCTGGTTTTGAGGTGCTTAAAAATGTTATCTTTGTATCCAGTGTCTCTTCAAATTTTAGGACGCTGTTATAAGGCTACTAATGCACTTGTTTGTTTTCGTACCAAAGCTGGTAGCTACTTGATTGTTGATCTACATATCCCTTTGTTGCTTCAGGCTGTGGGGATAATTGCAGCAGTAGGGGATGCTGTCACTAACTTGGAAATTGGTACTCCTGCTGCAGTCATGACATTTGGAAGCTATGCTGAATTCATGATGGTACTCTTTTGTGAATATTTTACTTTCAATGAAAAGCATAAATGCTTTTATAATTTACACTTGATAATTGTCGCATTTCAAAACCATGGTATGAGTTATTTTAATGGCATTTGTGAATATCGTTTGTTTTCTTCCCTGAAATGAAACCACTGAGGATAAAAGTTTGTTTTTGCACTTGTATCAGGTGCGCTCAAATCATGTCCTTCCTGTGGCAAGACCAGATCCAGAAGTTGTTGCCATGCTTACTTCAGGATTAACAGCATCAATTGGTTTAGAAAAGGTCACTCGTCATGCTAACAATTATTTTTATATATAATACACACACACACAAGCCAGTCTATTGGTTTTACAGTTCGGCATTACATCTGCAATTAGACATTGATGTTTAAGTACCATGATAGTAATAATTTTACGTTGCCTCGTATAATAATATTTCTAAAATTCTTTTTTAGAGGCGCAAATCCTCTTTCTCTGACAATATTTCCCTACTGTTGAATTCTTAGGCGGGACAGATGGAATCTGGAAAGGTAGTTTTAGTTACTGCTGCTGCAGGGGGGACGGGGCAATTCGCGGTCCAGGTTTGTTTTTTCGTTCTTTCTTACTCTATTTTTTGCGAGTATTTTCTTGTATTAAGAATGCTTCAATCTTCACTGAGGACTCCTAGTCTCCAATTGTCTTAATTTGTTCTTAAATCAAATCCGTTTCTTTCTTTCTTTTTTTTTTATTTTTTTATTTTTTTTATAACATGTTTACTATATGATAAATAATTAAATAGCATGTGCTTGATTTACAGGTTGCAAAATTAGCTGGAAATAAAGTGGTTGCAACCTGTGGGGGTGAGCAAAAGGCTACGCTTCTGAAAGAATTGGGAGTTGATCGAGTCATAGACTACAAGGCTGAAGATATTAAAACCGTAAATCTCTTGAATCTTTTTGGTTCTTTTTTATTATATTTGGAGGCATAGGAAGCTGAAGTGGAGCCAGTCGTGGTTTTTATTTTTTCAGTTAACTAATCCATCTAATAGAATTTGATAATATCTGCTTCTATTGTTTGTTTGATGATGCTCTCTATTAAGTGAATCTAGAATAAATATATCAATTTAATGCATGAACAAGCTTGCTTATTGTCACTTTACATTGATTTCATTGCCCAAAACATGCAAGTAAAATTCTTCTCACAATGGAGGGAAAAGAAAAATTTGTGGAGACAGCTGGTATAAGATTTTAGAGTCCTTGAACTTAAGCATCGTCTCCTGCTGGGTAATTGCAATCTTGTTGTCCCAGTTTTTTGGGACTAATAATTTGGAAAACTGATAAATTCATGTAAATTTAAATAAAATATTGGAATATGATTGAGGATTTACAATCTTCTTTTTTTGGTTTTCTTATTCTTTAATTTAACCTTCACTATAGAATTTGACTAATACTGATGCGTTTTGAGTGATCACTCTTGTGTCTCCTTAGCTCAGACTGATGGGTTTCTTATTTCTTAAATCTGTTTATTTTGTTACAAAAATTTGCAATGCGACTTTGTAACAAGGGCCTGGACAGTTCAACCAATGTAAAAACACTGCTAGTTGCAATGGGTAGACTGAGACATAGAAGTTTGAACTCAAAGCGTGTTGACATATATATATTTTTTATTTTTTACTTTTTTTCAGGTTCTAAAGAATGAGTTTCCTAAAGGTGTTGACATCATCTACGAGTCTGTGGGTGGTAAAATGTTTGATTTGTGCTTGAATGCTTTGGCAGTTTATGGTCGACTCATAGTAATTGGAATGATTTCTCAGGTTGTTTATTAAATTCGTCTATTACACAGTTGATTTCTGCATAATGCTTTGATTTTTTTTTTATTTTTTATTTTTTTATTGCTTTGCAAATTCTTTTGACGCCATTGTTTAGTTATTCCAATCAACTGATTAATCTGGTCTCAGTATCAAGGAGAGCATGGATGGAAGCCGTCAAATTATACAGGATTATGTGAGAAGATTTTAGCAAAAAGCCAAACTGTGGTATGTAGCCATAACATGGTGATATAGTTTTTGATTCTCTATTTCCTCTGGATTTATCCTCACCTTATATAACTTAGATTTGTCCTGTGATATGTAGCCGTAACACGATGATGTCAAATTTTTTTAACAATTAGTTTTTTTTAACAATTAGTTCTTTAAGCATGTCTTTTTCTGTTTTCCCAGGCTGGTTTTTTCTTAGTACAATACGCTCACTTGTGGCAATCACATTTGGACAAATTAGTTAATCTTTACTCTATGGGAAAGCTGAAGGTAATGATTCAGGACCCTTTCATATGTTATATTTGAATTTCATTGTGGGCTTGTGTTGAAATCCCGAATCTAATGCATAGAAATCAGTTTCCTGATTTAGGATAAATTGTTTCCTGATTTGTTTTGATTCAGCAGATCACTTTCCTGATCTCTAGGCCATGACTTTAGGAGATTTGATTTTCATAATTGTATTATAAATAGGAGCCCTATGTACAGAATATTTTTGAATATAGAAAACAGAAAGCAATATTCCTGCTTTCAGCTTGTTCTTGTACCTTTTATGTGAAATTCACAGTGAATCCACTAGCTGAACTCTTGACTATGATACCTGGTTTAAGAATCTAATAACCACACCCAAAAGAGCATATTAAAGAAAAAGGCAAAGCAAAAAAAAAAAAAAAGTATTTGGGAGAACATCCAAATACCTAGTACTAGGAGAGCGAGGGGTAGACCAAGAATTACTTGGGTTGACGTAATTAGGCACGACTTTCAAGATCTAGGGCCTCAGGAGGGTCTCTTGTTTAATAGAGCGGACTAGAAATGAGAAATCCATATAGCCGACCCTAATTAATTTGGGATTAAGGCTTGTATTTGTTGTTGTTGAAAGTATAATATGCTCTTGCAGAAATCCAATCTCAAGTAATTATCTTGAGACCCAAAAAGTGAGATTTTTCAACATTTTCTATTATTTCAACGGTTTCATCAACGAGCTTTTAGTCCTCAATGGTTCTTGTTCATTTTATATAGGTTGTGGTTGACCCAAAACAATTTTTGGGCCTTAATTCCGTTGCAGACGCTGTCGAATATCTCCATTCTGGTAAAAGTGTTGGAAAGGTATTTTTTCTGCTCCTCTTCTAGTTTTCTAGCAATAATATAGTGATAGTTTATGTTCAGCTTGCCACAGATGGATTTTTTCTTACAATACAATAAAATAAAAAATTTACCAGGTGGTTGTTTGCATCGATCCAAAGTTCAGTAAACAAATGGCGAAATTGTGATGAGATGATGTCATCACAGGCAGTTTTCTTGATTCTGAGAATACATGAACACTTGCTAAGAGAGGCCAGCAGGCACGAATAATGTTTTCAGTTCTCGATCGCAAACCAAGATTCAAGAATAAGCTAAATAACATTTTAAGTCAAGTTGTCGTCTTTGGCCGAAAGACAACGTTTATGGATTCAAAAGCCCTTGGAAGCAGGCGTTGGAGTTGTTTGACACCATGATTGTAATTTGAGCCGGATTTGAGCTTCACTCAATAAATTTGTTGCTCTCTTTTTATACCAGGAAGTAATTTAGATGGAATTTCTACTTAAAAGTATTTATACTTTGATATTAATCTTTTACATGTAACCTGAAAACAATATAGAAAAAATAATGTAGCTTGCTGTTGCAACCGTTTGTGTTTATTTATTGATTGCGGCAAGTCTTATAGACGAGTAGTTTGAGTAGGAAATCCAGGAGCAGATGTCGAATGTAAAGAAAACCGGTAGGCTTGCACTTTGAACTGAACTTGAACTGAACATAGGAGCTATTTGTGGCACTCAAAAATTAGTTTCATTGATTTTGTTCTCGCCGTCGTTTTTTTGAAATAATGTTTGTTTTGTTCAGTGTAAACAATTTTTGCTTTTCCACTCCCGAGGAATCATTTACCCTTGTTCTTGTAGAAAAAAATGTTGGTCTTTGTTCTTTGCCAGGACTCTTCTCACATCTGATGGATGTTAGATGGTGTGATTATGAAGGGAAAATTGTTCATGTACTCTTATGAAACTTTATCGTTTTGTTCAGTTTAGTATGTCTGATTACGGTACATTTTGATCCTGTTTATTTTACCGATTTGAGTTTTGTTATAGTAAAAAATTTTCATAAACAGTCACATCTAATTTTTTTATTACAGTAAAAAGTTCTCATATAAAGTCACATCTCAACTCGAATTAAAAATTTGAATCAACAAACTAAATGTGTTTAAATTTCTCTTTGGTTTGAGATGGCCTAAATTCATTACTAAATATTTGTTATGCCTCAAATGCATTACAGACATATGATCATTACGTTTCAATCGGGTTATTATATTCCACCTCTTATAAAGAAAAGCACTTAAATTAAAATACTTAATAGCATGGCGATACATTTATACAAAACTTCTACCCCGAGCACACGCAAAGGAGCCGTAGACAGGCAAGTGAAATCCAATCCACGAAATAATTTGATCTATGGACATCATCGTTGTGGTAAAGGTCGTAATGCCAGAGGAATCATTACCGCAGGGCATAGAGGGGGAGGTCATAAGCGTCTATACCGTAAAATCAAATTTATATACATATGATTTCGATATATTAATTATAATGGGATAATGGGTTGCCCGGGACTCAAACCCGGAACTAGTCTGATGGAGTAGATAATTTACTTGTTAGAAAATAAAAATAAAAATAAAGGTAAAAATCTCTCCCCAAGCCGTGCTTGCATTTTTCATTGCACACGGCTTTCCCTATGAATACATCAAAAAAAATTCAGTTCCTTCCCTAGATAGGACTTTGAATACTCAGTTGATCAACCCTTACTGCATAAACATTTCATAATAGAAAAAAAAAAAAAATTTGTTATCTTTTTTTTTATCATTTAAGGATAATTTCTATTTCTTTAGTTGCATAACCAATCATTTATGATTGACAAGATCGTTGATGCAAAAAATATCCAAATACCGAATTCAACCTTTATATGGTCCCGCAAAGCGGAATAAGTTCTTGGAAAAATCAAAGAAAGAACCTCTTATTTCTCCGTAAAGAATTCTTCCAATAAATTCGAACCTAATTTTTTCAAAAAAAGAACAGATGAGCCACTATGGCTCAGTGGTAGAGCATCAGGTTTTTAAACTGCAGGTCTGTAGTTCGATCCTGCATGTGGGCGTTACCTTTCTTTTTACTAAACATTTATTTTGTTTTCGTGTTTTGCATTTTTGGTAATTTATTATATATGTAAACTTTTGTAACGTTTCATTTATCTGTCATCAAATTACCAAAAAAAAAACCAGAGAGTTTCAGTAAATGTAATTGATGAAAGCCTGGAACATTTGACGCATACTGATATAAGACAATGACTAATTGAAGACAGAGGGATCTTTTATGGTGCCGGGTAACATTTTCAATAGTGTAAACTCATTAATAGAAGATTTCGGTCAAAGTCATTGCTAAAACTATAGAGGTTTATATTTCAAAAGTACTAAAAACCAGTCCCAAAATTCAAGGGTGCCAGGAACAAGTTAAAAAGGTTGGCAACAGCCTCAATATGTAGTCGTCAATCATACGCTGTACTATTCGGATGATGAACAAGAAGTCAGTTCTTTTGTGTCTTGTGTTTGTCCGATCAAGGGCTATTTTTTACCTGCAAATACATGATAAAAGGAAAAATTAGATTACAATAAACCTGTGAGTTAAAAGCACCAACTCAATATTTATTTGACAACTTTTGTTAAGGCTTTTTACAAAGTCTAATATGCAGGTAAAAAAATATATATCAATATCGAAACTCTCATGGAGTGGAAGGAATTACTTGTTCTGATTCTCTTGGCGCTCCTGCCCGAAGGCATGACATTGGAATCTTCGTCGTTCTCTTTTCGTTGTTCAGCGCTATCGTCTTCTGATTTATGTGCTGTAACAATATATACCTGCATTTAGCAAATATATTATACTGAAATTCCTCATAAACAAGACAAGCCTTTTATACTCTATGACCGTGATAAACGCTATTTCAAGTTGCATATTTTTAATTACTATGTACGGCCTAATGAGAATAGTAGTTGGTTTCTATCAATGAAAAATTGAGTTAAAAAAAAAGAACCATGCTTGCACCTTCACCTTACCAAGTCAAATTTGCATGACTTAAAACACAACATGATGTTTTCTTTTCCTCTATCTTGGCATGACATGTCACATATTGCATAGCAAAAATACAAGACCTGACAATAAGCATAGTTCTTTTCAAGTCTAAAATACAGAGACGACCTTGAATTCTGTTGGCCTAACCAAATGGAAAACCAAAGCATCCCCATCAACTAGTTGATGATCAATGGCAAAGCCTCCCCATCAACTAGTTGATGATCAATGGCAAAGCCTCTCCAACCTCCACTGAGGCTAGATTTGTCAGCAAGATATTTTGTTGGGAATTCTTCACCATCCTCATCCACCAAAGTTATTGTCGCATCCTCATGCGGAAGGTGTCTCTTGCAAAAATCGGAAGGCAAACCCTGTCAAAAATATTGTTCAGTTAATACATAGCTTAAGTTGTTAAGAGGCGGGCCATCGATAAATTCTGTTTTCTATTTCATGTGTAGGCTAGACAATAGGCGAGCGTGTCATGAAACATAACTTAGACAGTGTCCAACACAAGAATATTTGCTGTTAAGTATGAAATACGTAAAAGGCAACACAATGATAATTTGGAGAGTGCAGATACAAGAGTCTAATGCTAAAAGTTTAAATTGTTAGGAGGTAGACTGACGTTAGAGTTTACGTGTTCAATTGAATGATTGGCTTACCAGCCAAAACCCTCCAGTAACATGTGACTGAAGCATGGGCTTGATAAAGTTTGGGACATCAGAATCCAATTCTGATTGAATCTTCTCTGCTCTGTCATTGGCATATTGCCTTGTTTCATCTGAAGCATATATTCGGTTCAGCAAATCTCTTCTCTGATAGCTCCTGTGGCCAAATCCAATACAAAAAGCACATAATTATAAGATATCCAATGTTGTAAGTTGTTAAGCAATGAAAGTAAATAATAGTAATATTATGAAGTCTACACCAATCAACCTTCTAGGCCTTCCCAAGGGTTCAATTGGGACCTGCCAAGGATCAAAGGATTAGTGAGTCAATTTCAATATAAATCTTTGTGCTGGATAAGAAACTTGTCATATTCTTAGTAGGAATAATAACAAAAACCTCCCCCGTATTTTATTGGAACGTTGAGTTCCACCGTATGTTTTCAGGAATGCTACACTTATCCCGTACGTTTTACAAATCGTGTTAAACACCTCCCTCTAGAAACCGTGTTTTTCAATTCGATTGCTCACCCCCCGATTTTCACCCCTAATTTAACCCTGCTAATTAACATCCTTGAACGACCCTCACCAGTCACCAGAAAACCTTCAACATGAAAAAAAAAAAAAATAAAAATAAAAAATCAATCAACAAACATGAGAGAGTGTGATAAAATCTGACATCTTTGTAATTTGGAGGAGGCTTATTTGAGACACGGCTTGACCTTCTCAGCGGTAATGAAGAAGGTTCCACCGGCAACCCATTTCTAGGCCTCAACTTCTTCACCTGTTACACCAACAAAACAGTTCATCTTTGGCTTTATATATATATATATATTAAGCAAAGCAAAACAAAACACGGAAAGAATCTTGATTTTTCCCCAAAAAAAGTCATTTTGTGAAATGAGAACCCACAGGCGTTGACTTTGGAGATGAAGGTTTCAAAGCTTGAGCAAGTTTAGTGAGGTTGAGCTCCTCCATTCTCTTTTTGTTCTCTTCGAGTCTCTGTCTCCGACATTCCTCGTTTGTCAACTTTGACTCCACCATTTTACGACCCACCATTCTCTTTCCTTTCTACAATATGACTATGAACTGAAATCCCTTTTTCTCCAGAAATTGTTTTGTGGAGACAGATGATCAGGAAGAAGAAGAAGAAGGTCATACAATTAAAAAAAAAAAAAAAAAAAAAGCCAATTCCCTAAATGGGCCTGCTTTTTTTGAGCGCCAGTTTTACCGAGTTTAAAATACAATAAAATAAAGAAAAATAGTAAAAAATAGGCCAATATGAAAAGTTTAAGAAAGTATATAGATCAATTTTTAGTTATAAAAATTAATAGGTCATAACTTGTCAAATTATGGTTCATAATCAAATAAGTTATAGACAAACTTGTCGAGTTATGGTTCATAACCAGATAAGTTATGGACAATTATGGACAATAACTTGTCAAGTTATGGTTCATAACCAGATAAGTTATGGACGAAAACAGTAATTTGGCCTATTTATTAACTTATGTAAACTATTGGCCTATTAATTTTAATTCATCTCAAATCTTGGTCTATTTCCCTCTTTCTCCCTAAAATAAAGGCCATTAAAAAAAAGGTCTGGTATTTTGAATTTGAAATTTCCCACGTAAGCAGGAAAGGACACCAATTCTTAGGGCCCATTTAACTTACTGATTTAAGCTTTTAATATGAGTTAAGATGTGACTTTATATGAAAATTTTTTACTGTAATAAAAAAATTAGATGTGACTATTTCTGAAAATTTTTTCCTGTAGTAAAACTCGAATCGGTGAAATGAACATGACCAAAAATTAGTATTTTTTTTGTTTTTTTTTTTTTGCAATTAATTACAGTTTGGCATTGTTGTGGTCTTGAAAATTGTTGTTGTTATCGTGCTATTAGTCAAAATTGTTGTGACTAGAAACATGTAAGTATTTGATAAATTTTTTTCAAAGTTGTTGTGCATACTAGAAGCAGAAATTTAAGGTGCATTTGGTTGGTGGATTCGTATCATGATTCGGATCATAGTTCATGACTCGCTACAGTATTTTCTCTCATAAAAAATACACGTAAATCGAGAATGATTTTGAATCATGATTTTGAATCCATAAACTGATGTTTAGTAAACTATGTACAAAATTACTGTGAAGATATATAATGACTAAAATATATATACTTTAACACACATATTTATAATTAGTTTTATTTCTACTTTTATAGTCAATATTCATAATATTTATACACCAAAATACTAAAAAAAATTAATTTTCATTTTATTAATTAAAATATCTCTAAAAAATAAATTGGTTTTATTCAAAAAGATAATTATATATCTATAAAGAAATTAAATAACGTAACGAACTAGAGGTAAATTAATTTTCAAACTAATATATTATTAAAATTTAGCACAAGATATTTATTAAAGATTTTTAATTTTTAAATAAACATTTAAAATAAAATATACTCTTTAATTTGATTTGGAAGAAATAAAATGAATAGATTGGGAATTAAGTTTTATTAGTAAGGTCATTTTAGTAAACTTAGACAATAACAACAGAAGCTGCTGTGGAAAAACAATCCCTTACCTACATTTCAAATTCTGTTGTGGGGTAGTAATTTTTAGAAGTAGTTAGACAAAAGCATGTTTTACCAAACTCAATTACTTTGACATGTTGTAACTTCTTAAGAAAAGCTAAAAACAACCTTTAAAAGCAATGTCAAACATGTCTTTAAATATTTTAAAAGAAAAATACTATAATAAAATTAATAATTTGAGTTTGAGTATATAAAACAAACGGCCCTTAAAACAAACGATGAATTTATTTGCCAATGATTATTTTATCATGCACAAGGATGCTTTAGTAATTAAATAGAAATTGATTAACATTTCTATCTTAAGTTAGTAAGCATTATAAATGTAATTGAATGTTCGTCGCGATATTCGAAAGTTGATATCATTAGTGATATTAGGAAAATTATTAGCCTTACGCACGGTGACTCTTATTCAGTTAAATAAAATAATTAATTAAAATAAAAGAATTAGGTAGAATAATTATTGTAGTTTTAACTAAACAATCAATGTTATATACATTAATAAAGAGAAAGTATTAAAAGCATATATAAATAAAAGTGTTTAAATGGTACATTTTCACTAGATGGATGTACCATATAAATAAAATAACATGATATGCATAGTCCATTGAATAATTTTCATATGTGTGCTAAATTCCTGATCCCTCGAGAGGGAAACAACAATATAACCCGTTGTTTAGCAAATTATGCTTTTATGAATTCTAATTTTGTTACTTGGTAAGATGCAATTACGCTTTATATGGGCCCTTCTGTTATGGCCGATCTTTTGCATATTGCAATTGAATTGGTGTGGTTGTAATCTTGGCCTACAGGCGATTCATACTTACACTACCTCGAAATTGGTCTTCTTGAGTTCTAATCCTTCACTCCCAAAGTCAAAAAGAAAGAGAATCGAATTATTTTTTATTTTGCTCCCTAATAATAAATAAGCAAACGTTAAAAAAGAAATGAATAATTCAAATTTTTTTTCTTTCCTTTTTAAACTCAATTACCTTTCTAATTACATTTCATTATGATCTGAAAATATGCTCTACATTTGATTGAAAGGACAAAAAAAAAAAAAAAAAAAAAAAAAAAAAAAAAAAAAAAAAAAAAAAGAAAAAAAAAAAAAAAAACCAAAAAAGTAGGAGTTGACAAATGGCAAATGGAGAAGAAGGATGGAAAGAATCCAGCTTTCTTATGTATTTCATAGATTATAAATTGTAGAGCAGTAGAAAAAAATAACTGAACCACAAATGAAATTAGAGAGAAATTAATATAATTCATGAAATTATTGATTTCACTATGTTCTTTCTCACTTTCTTAATATTTTGGTGATTTAGGAAGATAGTTCAGTAAACCTAGCCTTACTTTGTGTAATTTTTTTTTTTTTTCACTTTCTATTTTATTTCAATTTCCCCTGTAAAATTTATCCTTCTTATTTCCTTCACCTTTTCATCCATACCACGAGTTTGTGCAACAGAACACAAACATTTTTTTTTGGGTGTATTTGTGGAATCAGTAAAACAAAATTAAAACGAAAAATTGCATATAGAGTTCAAGTTGCAAGTTCAGCATATATATATATATATATATATATATATTTATAGGATTTTGATTCCGGCTGGACGGTTCAGCCCCTATGTGGCAAGTGCTTAGGACTTTAATAGGTGTTAGTGAAAAAAGTGGTTATGGAAAACTTTTTTATTTACATTTTTAACTAATTATTTGTGAACAATAAATTAAATATCTTATTCATATTTTTTTATTGTATTATTTTTTATAATAATAAGTATTTTTTACTTTTTTACTAAAGCATGTTCAAATTTTTTTTTTAAATATAAAAGCACTTTTTCAAATAATATCCAAACATTAACAAAAGAGCCCAAATTATGTTTTTCTTCTATTACTCAAAAGTACAACCCAAACTATTCCAAACGGACCCTAAATATAGGTAAATGATGGGTGTGATTGGCTGTTAAAGAATTTTTAATACTTTTTTTAATTTTTACAACCGGTTGTAGCAGGTGGGTAGTGTTATTTGACTTGGCATTGTTGTAAAATTGTCTTGTTTTAAGGGGTTTGGTCGGTAATCTCATATATGTTTGATGAATTGCATCAGCCTATTTTGTGTACTGATGGGTTTTTATCAAACGTTACGTACCTTTTGTGGTAAAAAAACGTAATTGTTCAATTGCAACGTAATTTTCTATTTATTTTTAAGAGGTGTGTGGAATATTTTTCAAATTTGTGTATTAAATAATTTGCACTTACGCATATGCATTTGAATAAAGCATTTTAGATTTTTTTTTTTTTTGAAAAAATTTCATATTAATACCATATAGTTTAATACAATCATTTTTTAATACCATGTATTTTTAATAATTTAGAAGTGGTATCTTGTCCTTCACCTTTTTTTATTTTTTCCTTCTTTTCTTCCTTTCGCAATGTGTGTGTGTTTTTTTTCCCGCTCAATCAGTATTTTTTTTTTCCTTCAGCCCATTTATTCTCTTCTTATATGCATGGCTAAACGAATTAATAAATTACATGACATTACTGAGAGTGCATATTTGCCCCTCTAATTTATTATCTAATGAATGAAGTTGTGCACCTTTTTTTTGAGGAAAAAATGTGCCGAAGTTGATAACATATAATTATGTAAATATAAATTATCAGAATATAAACCGCTCTAAATTGCATTTGAACTTCCGATAAAAGGCATGGCTAAAATTTGGAAAACTAAACCTCAATCCATAATTTTAAAATTTGGATCATGGATACTAATCAGTTACATGTTAATGGTCCGTTTAGTTTACTGATTTGAGTTTGTAATTCGAGTTCAGATGTGATTTTATATTAGAATTTTTTATTGTAGTAAAAAAGTTAAATCTAGATGTTTATGATAAATTTTTACTGTAAAAAAACTCAAATTTTAAATTCAAATCGGTGAAGTTAACAAGTTCTTAATATACACTGATTATGAAAAAGAAAAAAAGGATCAACTTTTATAGACGGATAGAGAGAGAAGCAAAAAGGCTCGGAGGAAAGTTAAGAAAAGTCAATTAGTGATTGCACACGTAAAAGAGTGAAGGAGACAAACAAAGCATAAACTAAAAATTCATTATTTTACCGATTTAAATTTAGTATTCAAATTTTAATATAGTAAAAAAAATTTTAAAAATAGTCACATTTAACTTTTTATTATAATAAAAAATTCTCACATAAAATCACATCTCAATTCAAATTTAAAATTAAAATCAACAAAGCTCGTTCGGTTCGCTAATTCGAGTTTTTAATTCGAGTTGAGATGTGATGTTGTGTGAGAGTTTTTTACTGTAGCAAAAAAATTAGATGTGACTATTTCTGAAAACTTTTTACTGTAACAAAATTTAAATTCTAAACTCGAATCAACGAAATGAACGAGGTCGTTTCTTCCATTTCATTTATTGGGGATTTAATCGGTTGTAGGCTGAAGCAGGTGACTGTAAAATATATTGTCACGGCCAAAATCAAAAGGTTGAATTCTTCAGCCGTCTGGAGGGAATCAATACCCTATACATAGAGAGAGAGAGAGAGAGAGAGTTCAAAGTACACAAAAGATTGCAAGAGAATATTACAGCCATATTTCTTAATCTTGAGTTTTGAAGCTCTACAAAAAGATCTACATAAGTAGGAATATGCGTATGTGTTTATACGTATAATATTACACAAAATGCTTCTTCAGCATGTAGTATTGACAAAATAATAGAACTAGAAGTTAAAAACTTAACCTCAAATTCCACAAAAGAATATCCATGATCAGAATGGAGCTTCCTCATTACCAAGGAGCAGTAGCAACTTTCCGGAACATAACCTCAAGTTCCTGATAATTCATTCCAAGAGCTTCAAACTCTGTGTCAAGCCTTGTCATTCTCCCTTTCACGGCTAAAACCTTTGCCTCTAAAACACCCAATTCCTCTTTTACACTGTCCCTTTCAACTTTGACATTTTCGTATTTCTTTGACTCCGAAGCTAGATTTATTAGCCCGTCTAGCCGGTCACGTAGGAATTCGATTTTCATGCCCAATCCTTCAAAGGCTTTCAGAGTCTTATCCCAAGTGGCAAAATCATCAACCGGGGTGGTAATCTTGCTGGCTCTGATGGCGTTAGCGATGTTGGTAGTCTCCAAAATGATTCCAGCCACCAGTTTGCAGTTAAGGCCATCGATGAGATGCTTGTGGAGAAACGCTTTCTGGCTGCAACATAGCTCATAGTACTTGCCGTGCAAGTATTGAGGAAGCTCGGAGTTTATTATCAGACCATTTGCTGTTATGTCGAATTCATCAATGCTTCTCATTTCTTCGAAAGGGATAACTGAATCCGAGAATTTAATTCCGTCCAAAACTTCAGGTCTGATATCTTCACTGTCTTTGCCGTATTGAACTGACATATCAGACCTAGTCTTTTGAATATTGTCATCAGGGTTTCCCTCAAGAAGAAGCTCCAAACTCTCAGTTTCCCTTTCCAAAGCATTCATATCCCCTACATGAAATTGAATTATATTATCAACAAGATGCAAGGACACAAAGGAATGAAAGAAGGCAAGTTTACAGACTAAGGAGCCATTTATAAATTGAAATTCTGAATCACATTGTACCAGTTTCCGCTTTCTTAGGGCGAGTCTCTAATTTCAGAAGACCAAGTGCACAATCCACCTCATCTGAACACTTTGATCCAATAATGTAGACCTAAAAAATTTGTAGTCAAAGCAAGTTATGCATTTAGAACTTAAAGCATCAAAGTTTCTAGTGAGAGCAATTAAAAGAAAGGTAAGCAAGCACACACACAAAATTTATAGTGGTCCAATCTCAATGTGAGAACTATATCCATTTTTGGCCATTGCAGGTTTTCATCGTGATGAAGAAGAAGATTACAAAGGGAATTACACAAGTCACGCCTCTCAGACTCCTTGCCTTTCCATCTCATAAAAATTCCCAAAACCGCCCCCAACATGCCACTTGTGGACTTCGTGTCAAGGCAATAATTAGGATCCACACACCCAACACAAAGATCTCAACTTATCACCAGCACCCAACTAGGTTAATCTGAGCGCTTTCAGTGAGGGTCAAACAATTACCTTGAATTTGGTAGGAGAGACTAACTGGAAAACCACGACATCTCCCTCCACTAACTTGTGAGCAATTGAAAATGCTCTCCACCCACCACTCAATCCCACCTTTTCTGCAAGATACTTTGCTACACTTACTTGCCCGCTTTCATCTTCCAAAACAAACATCGTATCATGCTTTGGCATATGCAAATCACAGAATTTTTTCGAAAGACCCTGCCAGCCAAAAGATTACCAAATAGTTATCCATCTACCACTAATCCATGCCACTTCAACCTTTTTTCAAAACCGCGAAAGAAAATGAGGCTTACCAGCCAAAATCCCCCAGTAACATGTGAATGGAGCATATATTTGACTAAGCTAGGGAACTCAGGCGCTAGATTTGCTTGAACATCTTTTGCTCGTTCCAATGTTGAAGACGAATAATCGGGTGATGTTCTTTTGACAGTTATCTTTGTTTTCTTACTGCAAGCAAAGGATTGAGGACAAAATGTTAAAAATGATGAATCTACAATAACTAGAAATCAGATCAAATGGGAACATTTTTTCTGACCTTTCAGGCTTTTTAGCATTAAAGCAGACTTTCTGTTGAATAATTTCCAAAACAATTTTGTTAGTTCAATTAAAAAAGAAAAACAGAAATGATTGAGTACTTTTGCGGCTCGTAGACACTGAATGAAAGAATCTTGCAACAGGGTTATCAGGCCAGTTCAAGAATGTGTCAAAACCAACAGTCATAATTCATGTCAAAACCGACATACATAATTCATGTCAAAACCAGACTAATGTGTCCTATATTCTGTGTTTCGGCCTTTACTGGCTCGCAGTTTTCCTCGAAATTTTAACCACAACGCCCCTAAGCTATCTGGTCGTTCATAAACTTGTTCATATCCAGCTAGTTCAAAAGGCTCTACTATACGTATCTTGCTTCCAAAATCAAAGTTAAAATGTTACAGGGGAGTTTTATTACTAATTTAAACTCATACAAAGTTGAAAAAAAAAAAAAAGAACTGTAACTGTTTTCGAATCTGTATGTGAAGACTGTTTTCATCTCCTGAGATACGCTACAGAAAGCAAAGAAAAGGCAAAACAAGAACGATTTAAGAACTTTTTTTTTTTTTTTTTTGGTTAAGGATGCAGTCTTAGTATTTCATTCCCATACATAAGTGTCGTTTTCAAATTCAATACATCAAAAGGAGGCTTATTTAGACAGGAAAACAAAAAACCCCGAAATCATTATCAGAAAGATCGAACTTTTGGGTGCAGAGATATAGTGGGTCTCACTCGTTTTTCTTCATTCTTGACTGGTCTCCCTCGCTTGTTCTGCAATTACAATACTCTGTTAAAAGCAAAAACAAACAAACGACAACAAAAATTGAGAGAGAAAAACACAGAGAATGATATTACCTTTGGAGAGGAATCAGCTTCTGGAGTTTGTCTTCCCTGAGCAACGGCCATGGCTTCCGGGGAAAATAGTAACTCAAAGATCACAACTTTCAAACTTGGAAATACAGTACAAAATTAGAGATTTTGTGGCCGTTTTTGCTTTGGTAATAAAAGAGAATAAAAATTGGAGATTGACAAGACCAGTGACGAATTGACAATTGGTTTTTTGGAAAATAAATAATGGGTCCGTTTAGTTCGCGGATTTGAGTTTTTAATTTGAGTTGAAATGTGATTTTATATGAGAATATTTTACTGTAACAAAAAAGTTAGATGTGATTATTTTTGAGAATTTTTTACTGTAACAAAGCTCGAATTCTAAACTCGAATCGGTGAAATGAACGAGGCCATGTTTGTTTAATTCTCTGATTCGAGTTTTTAATTTGAATTTAAATGTGATTTTATGTAATAATTTTTTACTGTAATAAATGTGACTGTTTTTAAGAATTTTTTATTATAATAAATTTTAAATTTTAAATTTAAATCGATAAAATAAGCGGAGTTTAAGTGAATGTTTTATCTACGTGTACTCCAGAATTTGTCTCTCCGTGCGTGTCATACTGTTCAACTTCTAGCCTCTAGCACCTAAAATAGGCGGCAAATTTTTGAAATTATAGGGGTTGTTTAGAGTATGTGCTTTCTCAATAGTAGTTCTCGAAAAAATAAAATTATTAGGAAAAGAAAAGAAAAATTAAAAAATAAACATGGGATGATTGTTTATTGAGGGCCCACTCTACACTGGCACCGTGGCACATTACGTTATTTTAGGTCCCGTTTATTTTAGATTTATTTAGTTTATTATTTTAAATTTTTAATTTGAGTTGAGATGTAATTTTATATGAGAATTTTTTACTGTAGTAAAAAAATTAGATGTGACTGTTTTTGAGAGCTTTTTACTGTAACAAAACTCGAATTCTAAACCTAAATCGGTGAAATGAACGGGGCCTTTATCAATTTGAGTTTAGAATTCGAGTTTTGTTACAGTAAAAAATTTTCAGAAACAGTCACATCTAATTTTTTTATCACAATTTTACATAAAATTACATCTCAATTTAAATTAAAAACTCAAATCAACGAACTAAACAGACCATTAATGCCCACTTACACTGGCACGTTAAATACCATTACTCCCCACTTGGGTTAGTGTATTTTGAGTTGAAATATTTCTCTTTTTTTCCTGAATAAATATTTCTCTTGTTTATTATATACTAGAAGCTTTGTACCTTGGTATTACATTATTTTATACTCGACAAGTTTTTAGACTTCCAATTCAGAATTATCATGTCTCGTTCACTTTACGGATTTAAATTTTCAATTCGAACTGAAATGTAACATTTTCTAAGAACTTTTCACTGTAACAGAAAAAGTTAAATGTGACATTTTCTGAGAGTTTTTTACTGTAAAAATTTAAAATTAAAAACTCAAATCAGTAAAATAAACGAGACCTCTGCTTATCCCATGTTTATTTATTATTCTTATTATTATTATTATTAGTCTATCGTTTCACGTGTGCTTTTTGATAAAAATGAGTTGGGTAAAGTATATACATGCACACGCATATTAACATATATCCAATCACAAGTAGAAACTTTGTTCTATTTGTAAGATTGCAATCTCAATGTCACCTAAACTTGTACCAAAACAAAACAAAAAAAACAAAAAAACAAAAAAAACAAAAAAAAAAAAAACAAAAACAAAAAACTTTCAAGCATCTTTGGCCTGGCCCTATGAGGACATCTCAGCAAACAAAGCAAAAATTTTACAAATTTGCTGAGCGTTTGTACATATATCAAACTCAAGTGAGCACAAGGTAGAAAGAGAGGCAAACTTTTTCTCTTCTTATTTACATGGTAAAGTTTCCAGCCTCATCCACAACCAGATCAAAGCATGAATCTGTTAAAACTGGAATGAAAACTAAAGTCGTGATCTCATAATATATACACCTTTTTGCAAAACCACTATACAATCTCATGCAACTGTCTCCTTACCCGAAACGGCAAGTCTCCAACCACGAATGACGAAATCGAGAATCAACATATACTTCGTTCCCGTTGATGTATATCATCATTCCTATCCACGCAGACATTTATAGCTCATCAGTCATCACACAGTTGAAATCTTATCAAATTAAATAACCCTTGCTAGCTACACATGTTTATACGTATATATTATCTTTATCCTTCGTTCTGTCTATACAGTTCATGCAAGAGGATTGACCCAGTAACACAGCAACTGACATTCAAATGCCCCGCAGAAAATCTCCTAGGCAGGGCTTGCCTCCAGACTTTGCATTGTCAACAAATTTTTACACCATCCTATAGCCGTTTTTGGTGTTATCTCTTCAGAACTTGATCAACTCAAGCAAACCTCGTACACCAATTTTCACCTCTCTATACAAGAGTCTCCTAGAAGTCAATCCCCGTGGAGACTATAATCTGGAGCGACGAATGTTTTTAATACCATGGAAAGGTGAATGCCTACGAGCAGAAGCAAATGGCTGTCCATTCAACGAGCCACAGAATTTGATGTCCCAACCCTCCACATTCTTAGGAACACATGCATCAAACAAAAGCTCACCCAGAACACTATGTGCATTGATGCTCGGGGGACTAGGGAGATGAACTGGTTTGTCTTTCAGTTCATCCTGCGATGGCTCAGAATCTCTACCAGTTTGATGTTCTGCTGAACTTGGCAAATAGAAATGGTCACTTGGTCCAACTGCAACTCTTCTAAGGCTCTGGTTTGAGTTCACAGCTGCTTTCTGGAGGTCACAGATTAACGCAGATATCTCATCATTTGTACTTTCCATGCAAGTTCTTTCATCTTCAAGCTGTTGCATCTTTTGAGAAAAAACTAAAGCTGCCCTTTCAAGCAAATCGGTCACAGCAGCCCTGTACTGGATTGGATAATGCTCATAATGACCTATAATGAAGAAAACATAGTTTAATTCAGTTCTAATCTGATGCAAATATGGCACTAATAGAACACACAAAAAAGTGAAATATGATGTGCATTCCTCTAGAAGAAAAACATTCAACTAATTTAATGTACGAAGACAAAATGCACCAACATCATAGGCAAATAAAAAAATAACGACAATAACAAGAACTACCCTCTCTTGTAAAACACAAACAGATTTAACCTTTTTACGACGCGAGACTGCAAGGCATTCCATACTGATGTTCATATGTGAAGCATCCATAATACATTAACATAGAAAACCAAGCAAGAAAAATCATTGATAATCAACTATCGTGAAATATGAGAGAATGAATATGAATTCTCATTGATTGAATGAATAAATTTACAGAGTATTAGAAGACTATATAAGAATACACACCTAGACTAAAAAGGAAATAATCTATGCCTATTAATCCCATGATTCCAGCGATATCAAGAAAAATATTCTACACACTAATTTAGTCATAGTAATCAAGAAATTAATTACAAAAAACTAATTACAATTTACAGCTGTATTTTCCCACATCAACGATTATGCATATACAGAGTTGAATAGATATATCAACATATATTAGCATCAAGAGGTGATTAAAACGGTGCCAAACAAAGCTCCAGAATTCATGTCTAATGGTTTCCTGAAGGCTATATGCACAACACCTGACATCCAAGATAATTAAGGCAGTTTACTCAATAATGAGTACCAAAAGTAGAGGGGTATACTAATGCCAAAAAGATAAAGGTAAAAAATAAGAGAAAGCCTGTAGACAAACCTATGTGCGGGGAACCCTTCAGTTTCACAAGCTTCACATCTCCCCCGAGTTCTTGTAAACGTTGAGTAAAATTGCAGATGATATGATAGGGAGCAAGATCATCTTTTTCAGAGCCTAAAATAAGAAAAGGTGCTCCGAAATTCTACCAAAAAAACAAAAACAAAAAAAAAGTAAAGAAACTTTGCCCATAAGCAAGTAACCAACGATCTTAGGTGGATAATGCAAGATAGAAGCTTACAACAGAAGAGTGTAACGCCTGCCAATACTCAGTACGTTGGGACTCAAATCTAGTAAGATACAAAGCATCTAGACCAGAAGCAATGCCTTTAGCTACCCAAGAAACAAGTTTCGAAGACCCGGGCACTTTTAGAATGGTGGGGTGAAGCGCGTACCGTGTGCCCAAATCACTTGTGAAATCAACTGGACTAGAATCAAAGATATTTCCAGAAATACAATTTCTAACCAATCGATATTCACCCTACACAAAGCCAAAAAAAAAAAAAAAAGAGAATGAAAAATTAGCCAGAGTAAACCAGTTCAGTTATCGAGGCCTTTGAAAAAATAACTCTTTTGAAAAGTTTTATTAGTAAAATAACTTTTCAAAAATTTTTATTTGCAAAATGACCTCATTTTACAAAGAATGAGTAAATGTCTTTCTTCATAAAAAATAGAAGAAGGTCATTTTACTAATTTCACTTTGTTGAAAAGTCATTCTAGCATATTGCCCCAATCAGTTAAATGGGCACTTCACTACCGCACCAAAAATTAGCCAGAGTAAAGAATCAAACCATACCGGATACAGCTGGCTTTCACTTATTCCCTCAATAATCTGCATACACATACGACTTGAACATCATCATCATTTCCACATTTGAAAGAAAAGCACTGACATGTCAAATAATCTCTAGAATATCAACAATTAATCTTCACAAAACTCGCGTTCACAGTTATATACCTGAAAAACTTTATACATGCTAGCTTTTGTACCACCCGAGAAAGCGGCAAATACCACAGGACATGGCTTGACCCGTAGCTCCTGCCACCCCCAAAAAACAGAAAGGATATCATTTACAGACAACTTAAGCCAAATAATTAATAGGATATGAAAAGCCTTAGTTATCCCATATTCATTTTTTCTAATATATATATATATATATATATATATATGAATTGGTTGGTACAGTATTTCACACGATTGAAGTCGGTATATCAGTATGACAATTTAATTTCAATTTTCATCAGCATAGATAACCAAGGAATTATTTGCCTTAGCATGTAATCGCACATCTATACTATCACTAAAATGCCAATCTTATCTCAAGAACATTAAATGTAACAACTACCAGTGAAACTGACCTCCACAAGCTCATTGAGAACGACAAATGCTGATGACATGGCCCGCTCGGGATAAAATCTGCACAAAGCTTTCATCATAAGTGAAAACAATCACATTCAACTTCAACCCTTCAAAGTTTGCTCAGTTCATTTTAGTAAGCTGATTACACTTTCTAGACACGCTTAACCATCAGGTCAAACTCGCAATAATTATCGAAAGATACCCAAAAAGAGAAAACAAAAAATCTCATATTTCCAATTGTTACCTAATAGTTCAAACCCACAAAAAAAAAATCAAAAATCGAAAAAACGGAATCTGATAAGTCTCATATTGAGAGAAAAACATAACAAAGGAAGCGAGAAAATCTTACGCATCGACAAATTGGGCATGGCAAACGAGGGAATTCCAACCGAGAGAGGCGTACAAATCGACGAAATTCTTCAAGTGGTTCTCGTGAATCGAAACCCAGGAGAAGAGAACCACGACGCCTTTGAAATCCGAGACCTCCTTTCGCCCCCAATAGACCCCTCCACCACCAGCACCAGCCGCCATGGATTGGATTTCTTCGGAACAAGAAAATTCGAGATTTTTGGTGTTTGTTTTGGTTAAGAGTTAATCCTGAGAAGATAACCACTCGGGCTTGTGTGCGAAATCTGTGTGATGTATACTCGTGGCTCGTGACTCGTGGCTCGGAATGCGAGTTAAATGCATGCGGGACCCACCTCCTCTGAGCATACTCATCTTCGCCACGTTTTCTTACCTAGTACGATGTCGTATTGATTTGGTCCCGACCTATTTGTTTCTTGACAGATTACTCCCTAAATTTTGGATTTTTAGAAGTTCTCGTCCCTGATGTTTGGTTAAAATTTCTTGAAATTTAAGAAAGATGATCGCATCATTCTGGCGTAGTAATGGGCCTGTTTGTTTCCGTTTTTATTTTTATTTTTCACAATTTTTGAGAATAAAAAATGAAAACGTGTAATGAAAACGCGTTTGGCGTAAAATTTTCCAAAACTTAAAAACAAAAACGATCTTGTCTTTTTCTGAAAATTTGAAAACAGATTATTTCCGTTTTCATTTTTCCGTTTTCGTTTTCTCTCCTCAGGTCTGACCATCTACGATTCCTAACTGATAATGTTATATTAATATATTTATTTAATTTATTTAATATTATTATTTATTTAATATATTATTAATTTAAATATTATTACATGTTTTTAAAAATTACACTACCAAACACAATTTCAGTTTTTTTAAACTGAAAACAATCTCATAATAAATTTATGTTTCTTCTTTTTTTTTTAATTTTTTTTCATCATAATCTGATCATATTTATTTTTTATTATAATGTAATGTTTTTTTTTTATGATTTTCTAAGAATGGTATTACTTATATTGTTTTGCTTTTCATTTTCATTATAATCTAATAGATTATAATTATTTTAGTGAACATACTTATTCTTTCTATACATATTTTTTAGTTAGGTTTTTTATTTTTTCTTTATTAGAATTTTTCTTTCATTAAGGTCTTATTATTTGTCTTCTTTATTGTAATGCTTTTTTGATGATTTTCTGTGAATAATATTATTTTTTTACTTTATTTTTCCTTTCATTATGGCTTGATCATTATTTTAATGAAAATATTTATTATTTTTGTACATATTTCATGAGTTTTGAGGTTTTTGACCCTTTTTTGTCGTGGTTGTAGAGTTTTTTGGGCTGCCTTTTTTTTTTGTGTGTTTTTAATGTACAAATAGTTTGTTCTTTTATTTTTTCTTTTTTTGTTTAAATAAAAAAATTGACTTCTCACTAAACAATTTCATTAAATGCAATTCTTGTGGCTTTAGGGTAGCTGACTTTTTTATATTAAAAATTTATATAGTTTAATGTTCAGATTTTGTCTCACTTTTCAGACTTTTTTGTGGTTTAATTATTTCTGTCCTTTTTTATTATACGAGGATAAAAATATCTTTATATATAATAGTCGATAGTTTTGTAAATAAATGAGAATATAGACATTTTTAAAAATAAAATTCTCATATTGACATTTATGTAAATCACCCATATATTAATTTTGATTGGACACTTTCCCTTATAGAGGGTGCCTTTCTATTAGGCAACTTCTGAAAGTGATTAGAGAAAATTATAGAGATTACATTACTGGATATATGCACGTAAATAATTATATATATATACATATATATATATATGAATAGAAGTATTTGGTACTTATTGTCACATATCTAGAATCACTTTGATCTCACCACACAGAAGTATTCCGCGTTCAAATACCAAAAACACCCTTGGTCCCAATAGAAGAAGACTGATGTGGGACTACGACTTGGGAGTTGGGTCTTGGGCCCTCTCTTTAAAGGGCTTGGACGCAGGATAAAAGGCCTGATTTTACTCTTTTTACCATGAGAAGTTTTAAGGAACTCTCCTCTGGTGAGTGAGTTTATGATTTACGTCATTATTCAACACTATAAAATGTATTTCATCACTTTCTTCCTTTATATATTAATGATCTACTTGATTAATAGGTTTGAACTGAAAATTTTAAACAAAAACTCAAAATTTTAGGAGGAATTGCGATTTAAATCTATGAATTAAACGGTATCTACATTAAAAAACAAAATTCTGAGAGAAAGATACAAACTAAATGGATAAGCTAGGTGGGGGCATATTCTATCTATTGCCTTTGCCAATGATTAATAGAGTATTTTTTTCCTTTTTTTTATTGTAATCTTTGCGGGGAAAAACCATTTTTTCTTTTTTGTTTTTGCTAAACTTTGTTGGGAAGAACATATTATTTACTAAACTAACTTTCGGCTGTTTAACTCATAACTACTAGGTGTGTTCATCGAATCCGTCAATCCGTATAATCTAATATGTTACTGTGGATTGGATTGAATTACAAAAAGTTTTAAATTCATAATGAGTTGAGATTTTTTCAATCCAGAATAACGGATTGGATTGCGTATTGAGAAATGCCCAATCTGTATAATCAGCCTAGCTAAATTATACATATATTATATATATTTTTTCATATATGTTTAAATAACATATGTAAATTTTTTTTTTCAATTATACAATATATATAGTTTAAGTGTATATGTAATGATGTATGGAATCTCAATACTATTCTAATTTTATGTTATGTTATGTTTGTGTTTAATTTTGTTATTAATTTTATGAGAATATTGGAAAAAAAAAATATGAAATACAAGAGTCAAGGTCCAAACGTAGGCTAATCCGCGATTCCGCATAATCCAATCTACTGAATTCGTTGCGGATTGGATTGGGGTTTAACTTAATTTAGAAATTTAATTAATATTAATTAATTAAGTAAATTAGTTAAGGATAAAAGATGGATGATTATTTAGCAAAGGAAATTTAATTAACAAAGAATTACATAGAAAAGTAATTAATTTAATTAATTAAATAAGGATAGAAATATGGATATTTATTTAAGTAACGGATTGTGGATTAAACCTTAATTCATGTAATCTGATCCGCAAACACCCCTAGCTGAAATGGGAAGTTGGTGATTTGAGAATTTGATCATAAGTAACATCTCTTTGAAATTAAACAGGACCTAACACTCTGTGAATACTTAACTAGCCATGAAGAAATGAAATGTTAAAAGATATAAATTACATACACAAGATATAAATTAACACCTACTGGCTCATCCTCAACTGTCAAACCGATTAATTTTACTTGTCATCAACTACCACTATCAGATACGTTAATTTTGATTGAACCACACTTTCATGCATTTTCATGCATTAAAAGAAAAATAGTTAAGTGGTACAGCTACTCTTTTGGAACTTCTCACGAGCATTTATACGAGCAACACAAAGTTTCAAAGAACGTCAATCGGTATAGATAATTCCCTCAGTGTCTGTTTGGAATTTTTTATTAACCAACTTAATGGCACTATTAAAAAATAATAAATTACTAGCTATCTATCTATTTTCTAACATTGAGTTTTGTCATTTCAGAAACTCTCATGCATTCTTTATTGTTATTTTAATACAGATCTAAATAAAAAGAAATTTAGTGCATTAATCTTTTCAACAACTCAAAAGAATAGTGATTAAAAACTCATTAATGCCCAACTAGAAGTCAAATTGCTCATGGGGTTGCTGTGCATATATTTAATTTACCAAAAAACTGACATAGAATTCAGCAAGCTTCTTGAACAAACACAAATAAGGTAAAAGTAATTCCTTGTAACCACCAAAATCAGTTTCATAAGTAGAGAAAAACGGTAAGAAATCACCCAAATCGAAACCAAACGCTCCTTCATTAATAAGCTAACATTCTTTTTACTCTTCTCCGAGTGTCTCTGAATTAAGTCAGATTTCCTGCAATAAAAATAAATAAAAATGTGGGCAATCAGATCCAAAGCAAGCCACTCCACCATCGCACGTGCATATACCCTTCTTGTTCTCTTCTCTTATTAATGCATTTTTTGTGTTCTCCATTTTCTTTTTATTTCTTTTTTTTTTTTTTTGGTTTTGAAAAATATAACATGCTGCGTTTAATTTTGTTTTGTTTTTATGCTTGAAAAAGTGAAACCTGGAGGGCTGGAACCTCACATGGAATGAGACAGGATTGATTGCTTTTTGACACGTGTGTAATCATGCTAGTAAGCGTGTATCTGCTGCTTTTGTTTCTTTGCCTTCCCTTGCCTTGGCCTCCTTTTGTGGCTGCAGGCTCCCTCAGGGGTCAGGACTCAGGACGAATAATCCCTCATCATGACACTTTTTTTTTCTTTTCTTTAAGCTCAAAAGCAAAAAAAAAAAAAAAAAAAAAAAAAAAAAAAAAAAAAAAAAAAAATTTCGCTCAATCAACACTTCCATGTGATCCAAATACAAATGTGAAAATGCATGACTGCCCACTTGTGTTCCTTCTATTTTTCTTAATGTGAGATTCACGAGGGGTCGTGTGGTTTGAAAGGAAAAGTGGGACTTGGGAGGAAGAAGACGAATGACAGGGTTTTTTATTTATTTTTATTTTTATAATTAATAGAAGGATTACGGTACTAATATATAGTTGTTTAGTAGAAAAAAGAGAGGAGAAAATGGATTAAGTGGAAGATTTTAAATCCTTCAAAATACCCTAATTTTAGTTTAGAGATGAAGAGATTGGAAGGAATTCGTACAAAACACAATAGAATAAAAGACCTCTCATTTCTTTCTATTTTCCTCACTTATATTTTCTATTTTCGTTCCCCCTTGGCTCTTACCAGTACCCTCACACTAAAGTAACAATTGAAATAGGAGGGGTAAAAGGTTTTTTGAACCCAATGGAATCTTGTGGTTTTTTTTATTTATTTTTAATTTTTTTTTATATGCTTGAAATGCCAATTATAGCACCAAAGCCGGCCTTTGATGCAACTCTTTTACTTTTTAACTCGATTAGCCAATTTTTGCATTCTATGGTCCCCACCCAATCGTTATAATTGTCCTATCTACACCAAGGAGAAGGAATCGTTTCTAGTACTTGAACGCATATCCCGGAGGAGGGGAAAGGAATCTCGATAACAAGATGTAGTAAAAACAAAGAACAAGAAAGGCAGTAGTAAACAACTGTAATATATCATACGCGTACAAAAGCTAAAGGGAAACAAAATGGCTAGAGCAAACTGAAAAAGGAAAATTACAAATTGGAAGCAGCCAAAAGAGACCCAAACAAAAAGCACTTTTGCAATTAATCCAAAAACCAAACTACCAATATTTAAATTAATGCACATCCTTCCAAATAATTACGTCTCTACTCTACCCAAGTCCCATCCAATACTGGCAATTAGTTATATAATTAGAGCTTAAAAAATAAGGACGTGTGTGTTTATTACAAATTTTGCAAGATGGGAAAGAAGCTTCTATGGAATTTTGGTACGTACTTCAAGTAACAGACAAACAGTGCTTCCTTCTTCTTCTTACAATGTAGACTAAGAAAAATAAATTAAAGAAAAAAACTGTACAAATAACAAAAGTCTCCTTCCTACCCTGTCATTTTAGCCTAATCCCCTTCTCCATCATTTTTTGTGTGTTTTCCGAATTTAACCTTCAAGGCTTCAAACAAACCCAGTGGTAACGACCCTCCAAGGGCATATCGTTCACAATGTCGTAGTTGTACCTGCACCGGAAAATGGGAAAAGTTGTTAGTTAGTTAGCGAGGTCTGATTCATTCTTCTGATTGTTTGATTCCTCGCAGTGCTACAGTGCGCCCCTTGCGCACATTAGCGGAGAGAGGCTTATCCTACGCCCTCTCTGACAAAGTACCACTAACAAAACCACTACTATCAACTATCTATGTAATGCCATAACATAATATCAGACTCACTCAGTACTCACTTTTCTGCGAAACGCTTTTGCTCCGACTTCTCCGCCACCGCGAAGAACTTCTCGATCTCGTCTTCCGGAGGCGCCTTCTCCGCCGCCGGCGATCTTCTTCTCCGGTCAGCCGCCGCCGTTTCCTCGGAATCCACGCTCAGCTCGCTTGACGGCGACGTCGTTTCCCTGCCGATCATTTGCGCTAATTATTGTTAGTGAAATATGTGGGTTTCGTATGAGAGAGAGAGAGAGAGAGAGAGAGAGAGAAGAGGCGCTGGCCTGAAGTTCTTGTTCATGTTTTTTATGGACGTTGAGTCGACGGTTTCGAATTCGAATCTCTTGACCTGCAATAATTAATAAAGCGCATTTGGACACTGTTAAATGATTTTGGAATTTGGATTTTGAATTTTGAAATTTGAATTAAAATCCGGTTATTACTACAGCAGTAATTTGTAACGGGAGAGATCAGACAGAAGATCCAGTACTGTTTGTTTACTTTGAAAATGCATGAAAAGCTATATTCGAGAAAAAAGAAATATAATATTAGGAAAATGTAACAATAAATTCTTCATTCTTCAACACTTTCAGTGCTGGAATTGAGCTGTAGGTTTTTAAAGACGATAATTCAAACGCGCTTATTTTCTCTTCATTTTCCCGAGAAACAACCAGACAATGAATTAAGCAAATTTGAGAGAGTAAAGAAACAACAAAAAGAAAAAAAAAGAAAAGAAAAACGAAGGAGAGTGCAAATTGAAGAAACAAAACCGACCTCCAGATCCACAAGTCGCAAGCCGTCTTTAACGACGTCACTCGACTCGTTGCTGGAGCAGCAAGACGCCGGCGACCGATCCAGGCAGAAGCTGGCCGAGCAAGTATCGCCGTCGTCCCAGTACTTCACCGGAGAATTCACGCCCAACCTTCCGATTCCTAGCTCATCATCACCATCATCGTCAATGTCCACCGTAGAGAACTCTTCTATTTTCCTCCTCTTCGACGTGTTGTCCGCGCTCGAAGCTGCCCCCATTGCTGAAATTCCTGCATTTCGCTTACAATCCCCCATCTCTCTCTCTCTCTCTCTCTAACTCTTATCTCTTCTGTGTAATTCTGGAATTCTAGAGAGAGAAAGTGTGTGGAGTGGAAAGTGGGAGATCCGAGAGGGATGTTGATGAAGAGGCGGGCCGGTAATTTATTAGACGGCTAAGATTTCTTGTTTCCAAATTTACTTATTTATTTATTCTCGATTTTGTGAAGGAAATTTTTTTTTTTTTTGCGCTGGCAGTTACTGTTATAAAGTGTGGGACTGACGGGGTAAAGGGCGACAATTAGCGAAAACGGCGCCGTTTCGAATATCTGGGCCGTTGAGGGATCCCAGGAAACGAACATACCGTCATCTTTTTTTTTTCCTCAAAATAATAATAACAATTACGACTCGGTAAAAGGGCAGGGGACGCCAAAACGCAAACTCGAGCGTCGTTTTAGTTAATCTCCTTATTAATAACTAATTAATTGATATTAATGTCTAAGCTGTTCGCCTCCTCACAATTAATATAGATATATATATATATATTTATACATTTCTGTTTTGTTTTTATCCTGAAAGAAAAGGGGAAAAGAAAAGATAAAGAAGCCAAAGATTGTAATTAAGAAGTTGTAGACAAATATGGATAAGATTCTTTTTCCCTCACTTTCTTTTATTGACAGTAGAGACAAGTACAATGCTACAAAGAGTCTACAAGTTTGATGTGACCAAAGACAAGGTGATACATTAATCTTTCTTTCATTTCTTTTCCCTTCTATTTTGTACTATGGCAGAGAAAATGAGACATATATATGTTTGTGTGTATATGCATGTGTACATAAATATCAACTCTTTTTAATTTTATACACCTATAGATATAGAAATACAAATATCAACCAACTTGGTGGCTGAATCGTACGCTCGACCAGTTGAAATTGGTTGTAGATATCTCAGATTTCATGTGAGAAATTTTCAATAAGAAATATAATTAATTTATATCTTATAAGTTCTTTCAAAAAATTTAAAAAAGAATAAAAATGTATAATTTATATGTAATCAGATGTTTTACATGCGACAGAAGAATTTGATTGTAGATGAAGCAGCTTTCAATGGTTGAACATAACTTTTTTTTTTTTTTGTGGGTTTTCTTTTGATAGACATAAATTTCAAATAGGTGCCAAAATTTGTTTTGTTAACTTTTTTTTTTTTTTTTTCAAAAAAGGTTTGTTTTGTTAAACTTTGATATACTGTATGTAACATAAGTGTTTATTTTCGAAAAAAAAGAACATAAGTGTTACTAAAGTAGTCCTATATCCTTTTTTTTTTTTCAGAAAATATTGTTGTTCGTGGTTAGTTGATAATTACAATTTTTAGTATTCGAATTTCAGATCATATGTATGTATGTATACACATTTATTTCAATTAAATTAACCCAGTTAATTGCCGTCCAACGACTAAATTTCTTACATGAAGTTTGAGAAAGAATTTTACATAAATTGAATTATGAAATTCAAACCAACTAATCATATGCAAATCGTACTTACACAACTACAAGTCTATAAATAACCAATTTGAAACTTGAAGTGAGAGTACGACTCAGCTATAGCTTATATTTTATAAGGGTTAATCAACATGAATATACCTCCCCTTTTTCAGGTTATTTATTTATTTTTTATTTTTTTCAAATTTGTTATTTTATTTTTGAAAAGTTTCTTTCAATTTCATTTCCCCCATACTTTTTTTTACCAAAAAAAAAAAAATTAAGCGAAAAGAAAAAAATACCTTTAAATAAACATATTGTAAACATTTATAAAAAAAAAAAAAAAAAAAAAAACCCTAATAGGACATAAAATTTCAAAAGGAAAAAAAAAAAAAAAAAGATCCGGAAGTTTAAGGTCTTCAATGTTTAAAGAACTTTTCATAAAAAAAGGTATATGCGGCATGTTTAGAAGAGCTTCTTAAAAGTTATTTTTAACTTTCTAAGTTCAAAAGCTTATCGAAGTGTTTAAATACTTATTGAAAAGTTACAATTTTTATTTTTTTTCTTCTACTGACTAAAAGCAAAAGAAAAATTCTGTCAAACGGTAATTAAATTAACCAGACCTAATTGCCGTCCAACGATTTAATTTCGCCCATGTACTTTAAATTTATTGGGGGAGTTGATTTTGAGGGATATATGTATATGTAAATGTTTTAACCTATAATTAACAAATGAAACCTTAACCATTTCAACAGCTAGAAAGTTCACACTCAATACATACCTGATGCATCATTTAATTTTCAAAGAGAAAAGAGAGATGAGCGGAAGAATATTGTGCGTTTTTTTTTTAATGAATAAAGGAAATTATTAATAGTGTTAAAGTTACAGAAGAGTCCGATCAAATTTACTTACCATACACATTTTTCTTTTGTTGGATTGGATGGGCAAGACATCACAACAAAACAATTTATTGTTGGCAATTAATTATACTTAACAAGAGGGTTAATTATAGATCTCTGAAAACATATATTATATGCTAGATTAAGGACTATTGACTTCTCACAGACGTCCTACTACTATGATGTAAGGAAATTTAACACTATTCATGAGTGAAAAAGAAAAATACAAATAGAAACCTATAAATTACAAGTTAGACAGAGTTTTATATGACGAGATAATTAAAAATAACTGAGGTTATTATGTGATTAGTTGATATTCAAAATATACAATTCAAGCAGACAAAAATTAGGAAAGAGTAGTGAAAGGAGAGAAGAAAACTGGTAAAAGATTTACAATCAATTGGGACAAGAAGGAAAACTGGCAGGTAATATATCATAATTTGCACGAAAAATGAGAAAGAAAAAAACCTGCAATTTACAATAGGGAATTCGTAGGTGTTGTACACTAGCAATCATGCATTTGGATCGATCGGGTAAGGAGAATTGTTGAAACTACTAAAAGTTAAAACATATATGAGCGTTCTCATCACCAGTCACCAAGTTAAAGTCAAGGTGAAATAACAATGAACTTGATTATGTTTGTGAGTGAAGCTCTTAATTACAAAAGATTTATCTTTGTTGCTAATAAGTACTTGTTCAATTAAGAAGAAATATGTTGGGGGATTTTCCTCAAGGAGTTGAATCTTGATCTTGGGAACATTCTTTTATGAGACCAATCCTCGATATGAATAGAGGAGACTTGGACATTGATATTTGTAGATTGAACTCGACGGGCAACCTCAAGATAACATTGGCAACAGGTTGACCTCAATCCTTCGAGAGGGGTTGGGAGTCGAAAAAACCATCAATTGCAGTTTAAGAACATCTCTAATACAATGCTATAATTAATGTGCTAATTGTAAATTTAATATTTGAGTGTAAAAAATATTATCTAATACAATGCTATTTGTTGTGTCAAATTTCTCATGTGCTATACTTTCTGATAAATTTCCCACCAATTATAGCATATGAAAAATTTACCATATGCTATACTTTACGTTCTTCTCTATCCTCCATTATTTTACTGATTGCGTATCGAAGTATTCTCTGAAAATACGAGTCGGCAAAAAAAAAAATGAAAGAATGTTGATGACAGAATATCATTTTCACTCCAAAATAATTAAGGGAAAATTTCACCATACAAGAGGAAAAAGTAGAACAGATTCTAGATAAACATAAATTGCATCTGGTCAAGAAATAGGATGTCCTTAAGGAGGAAACCCCCAGTGTTAATGACAAGCAATATTACTTCGTTTCTATCCTCATTTCTATGGTTTTTGGTCACATAATGAACATATGATGCATTCTATTCCAAGACACGTAGATGCAATATCAAATTTAGAAAGGGAAAAAAAAGGAGCCACGATGACTTTTTTTTTTCTCCTTTATGAATATTACCTTCATTGACACGTAGGTAATTATTAAGTTAATTCTACTTTTCACTGCTTCAACAGGAGATTCAACGTTTGTACCACAATGTATTATTCTATGCATAAAAAGTATATGAATGTGATGGTTTATTATCTTAAAAAGAGAAAATTAGGGCTCTTTCTAATTTTTACATGGTAGGATCTCTTTTCGGTTTTATCTATTTTTTATCGTTGAATTTTATTAAAATAAAAAAAAATATGCAGAGTAAATAATTTATAATATAAATTTGATAGTTTAAAAAAATAAAAAAAAATAGGTGTAGTTCATTTTTTCAAAACCTAAATAAAAATCTCCCAAAATAAAAAAAAAATATGCAGAGTAAATAATTTATAATATAAATTTGATAGTTTAAAAAAAAAAAAAAAATAGGTGTAGTTCATTTTTTCAAAACCTAAATAAAAATCTCCAAAAACTAGTAGTAGTGAGTCAGTTATACAAATAGATTCTCTTGATCCAAGTTTTTAACGAGTTTTGTGACAATCATGATCAATCAAGTATAATATGAACTTTTCAAAATAAATTTAAACTATCACATCAACGCGTTTTAGGGTTTGTAGAGGGAGATTATCATGCCCTAGAAACGTTCAAAATATGGCAGATTTGTAGGGCATAGACAAAGAGTGGTACTGGCCCCCAAGAGTTAGCTTTTCCAAAAGGGAAACCATTCATGTCTTTCTACAGCATAGTTGCATAGGCTTTCATAATTTTGATAAAGTACCTTTACTGGTACTCCTAAGTTTATCATGATCTCATCTTCACCTTCAAACAGTTGTTAAAAAGTGGAGCTTTTTCCTTACCTCATCTCAGGGAAAATTCACAGAACCCATTTGTTTTTGAAAGGAAAAGAAATTTTTGAATTGAAAAAGTAGACAGATGGATTACCCCAGTTGTCACCAAATGGTACATGGTACTTGCATATATTACAAGGGAACAAAAGACATTATTTCCATTTGCCACAATACAACACAAAGGTGAAATGAAATCCGCAAGAATGATAGACTTTCCTCTTTCCACCTAAATATAATAACCCGTTTCCACTAATTACCCTCTCCTTTCGCAAGTAACTAGTAAAGTTTTAAGTCTCGTTCATTTTACCGATTTGAGTTTTTAGTTCTAAGTGTTTACAGTTAAAAGTTTTTAAAAAAAATATCAAATATAACTTTTTTTATTATAATTAAAAGCTCTAAAAAAATATTACATTTAAGATTGAATTAAAAATTCGAATCCACAAAGCGAACGAGACCCTAATTTTCACTGTAACAAAAAAAGTATTTATAGATTGTGTATAAAAATTTTAAGAGTTTAAGAATTGATTTCACTTCTTTTGTCCCTATGTTGAATAGAAAGGAATTAACGCGTCCATACACGGAGTGAGGTAGGGTTTAGTAGGGGCTCAAAGCCCCACTCAATTAATTATTATTTTTTTTCAAAAAAAACCACCTATAAAAATATGTAATTTATTATACCAATATTCATATAGCCCCACTAAATATTAAACGTTTAATTCTATAATCTTATTTTTTTATTATTTTTAATTATATTAGCTCCTACTGATAAATGTTCTGGGTTCCGTCACTGAACACGTTCCACACTTTGAGCGTTTTCCTCGTACTATTTTTTGTCTGCGTTTCCATAAACCATCATACTGTTTTTGATACCTTTTCTTTTGTTGCTTGTGAACTTTTTTTTTTTTTCCCCTTGAAACCTCTTCAGTGCTAGAAATCATCTTTCCAATCTAATGTGTATTATATGTAGTGGTCCATAATGTTATCAAGATCATGCACTTAATTAACTACTTAATGGTGCTATATGAAAATGTTTGTCTCCAATCTCTAAAGTGTAAATATTACTACTCACATTGAAGTGAAATTTAACTTGAAAGCATTAATCATCAGACTCGAAATTTTTTTACACTCTCATTCTAAATCCATTTAATAAAGCACCTCGTCTTAGTAATTTTCTAATTTCTTTCTTTCTTCTCTTATATTTTTATTTTTAAGTTTGTTTTGGGTGAGAGTCATGAAACAAAATTACATGACAATTTAAAGAAGTTACATCCCAATTTTAAAAGAATACATTTCTTATTTATTTCTTTTTTAAGATGAAAGGACGCACTAAATAATAGGACATTTTCAAGCATAACATAACATTTTCTACTCTTTCAAGCGTAGCATAAAAGATAAAAAGTCACCACTAGATAAGGGGACATTTTCAAAATTGTCCTAATAAAATCCGTATATTTGTGTGAGCTCCTCAATGACATTTTTATTCAAGAGAAAATTTTCAATTTAGTAATCTGTGTTATAGCGAAATTGTCTTTTAATATTACGTATTTTTTTATGATTTTAAATTGGTATCTCTATCTTTTAAAATATCAATTTATAGTACCTTGAGGCTTTTTTTGGGACATGAAATGTCGAATTTATCGTTTTAATAATTTTTTATTTGATTGATATGAATTTACTCCTTTAAGATTTTTAAAGGCAAAATGGATGTTTAATTACATGGATAAGGTTTTTTTTTTAAAACATTTAAAAGGTAAATTTGACATTTTATGTCCGAAAAAAGGGCCTCGAGGTACCAAAAAATGAATTTTTTTTTTTCTAAACGTTGAGGTACTAATTTAAAATTACGAAAAACATGGGATACTAAGAGATGATTTTACTATAACACATGATACCAAAGTGAAATTATCCTTGAATAAAAATGTCATTAAGGTGCTCACAAAAATATATAGATTTTGAAAGGACAATTTTGGAAATGTCCCCTTATTTAGTGCTGACTTTTTATCTTTTACTAGTTTCAGGGACATATTGAGCACGTATTACCGTGTGTGCCAAGCAGTTTATTAAAGAAACTCATTTTAATTTTAAACGCATTGTAGTATAAGAGATTAAAAACAGTTAAATATATGTGTAATTTTCCATGAGGCGCATATAAGAAAATTAGATTTTTTAAAAATAGATGTATCAAAATGTGTGTTTCAATCAGAATGTATGTTTACGTCGAATGTTGTATTATCATAAATAAAATTGAATATGCTAAAAAAATATTTTGATATGGAAAAATCAAGCAAAAAACTAATTAGAGTGTACATATGAAAAAAAAATGTTTATGTATGTGCATATTTAAGCATCATTATTTCAACAATGATTTTTTTTAAATATAAAACATATTTAAAAACAAATCAAATATAGTAAAGTAATTAGGGTGTACATATGAGAAGAAGAAGAAGAATGTTTGCTAAAGGATATATTCGGGGAAAAATATTTCAATGTAGTTAATAAGAATAAAAAACTAGTTAAATACATGTAACCTAAAATACATAAAGGATTGCAAGAAAACTACTTAGAGTAAAAACATATTTGTAAAAAGTATTTTAACTCAAAAATTAGAGAAGAAAAAAATAAGAATAGTAAGAAAACTATGTTCATGGGTTTAAACTCATGATTTTTATTTTACTACAGTGTTTTATATAACAAAATACTTGAATTTAAAAAGTTTGCACCAATGGAGTCAATCAAAATCACTGGTTTAAATTCATGAACCAAACAGACTGTTGAGTAAGAATATAAAAATATTTTAACTAAGAAATTAAGAAGGAAAAAATAATTTAACGGAGTGATTTTAAAAATATATGTGGAAAAAGGTCAAAGAAATGAGAAACAACAAAATAAATGGCAAATATGTAAACAAAAAATAATTGAGGATTAAAAAACAAAAGTAAGAAAAGCAAAAAAAAAAAAAAAAAAAAAGAGCAAAACGATCTCCACGCGTCAACCCAACGAGCATAAGCGTTTACACGCTTTTAATATAGGTAGATGTTATGTTTGAAACAGAGAATAGTAAAAGGAATTATTGGAGAATTTTAGAATAAAAAAATATATTGACTTGCTTGCATCCTTTCAACTTTTAAAGAAAATAAAGAAGGAATGCATTTATTTTAAGAAAAAGTTACAGGAGAAAATGTTGCACAAAAAACAAGAATTAAAATAACTATTTAACTCTTAATTACACCTTGTCTTTTTCCTTTCCATGATAAAATAATTTCTATAAAATTCTCCTATTTTCTCTTCTACCAAAACATTATAAAAGAAAGCGTAGTTTTTTGCTTTTTATCTCCCTCACTTGGATTTTTATCTTCTTCGTCCGCATTTTTCATCTATCTTACCAAACAGAGTGTCGTGTACGTCTCTCTCTCTCTCTCTCTCTCTCTCTCTCTCTAATCATTATATCAATTAGTAAACCTTATTCTAGAAGACGACAGGTTTCTTCTTTGCCAATGCTGAATTTATTTGGTAATGTCAGTACTACCGTACACAGGTTGCACCACTCCTTTAAAACCAAATGTTTTATATTTATGCGAAACGACACATGAATAGCTCTTTGTGGGCTTTTCAATCAAACTTGACTGCGTAGATTCAATTTCTTGATCAGTGTCAAAAAGGACTACCAAACAAACTATCTTTTGAACTAGAGAGTTGGCCAATTCATCAATGATATACTAAATATATATATATATATAAAGATATAAAATAGTCAAACATAATATATGGAAAAAGATAATAATGTCGTTGACCAGCTATGTATTTTGCTCTTTGGCAGTTATGACAAGAAGGATCTGAACCAAGGAATAATAGCAAATAAACAAAAAAAGTTAATGAGCTTCAAACAATACTAGTAGCAACTGAATAACACAATCATGGTGAAGAGAAAGATTGTTGATGAAGTGAATCATGAAAACATATAACTACACAACTCAAACAATGGTCAGAATAATTCTTTTTCTTTTTTTTTTTTTTTTCCCCTCACTTTGTTATTTGCGTCTTTGTTTTGTTTTTTGTTTGTTTGTTTGTTTTTTTTTTTTTTGCACCTCTGTTACTCTGTTTTGAGGACCACGTAGGGGAGAATCTGCACTTTCATTGTTATACGTTAAGAATTAAGATAGGTATGAGTCACCAAACCTCGACTAGCTTGGAAGAAGGCAAAAATGGGTAAGAATAGAGAGCACCTAGAAACTTGTTAGTTCTACCTCTTTCCTTTCCTGAACATGAACCTTGAGTCAGCAAAGCCTGAGAGAGAGAGGGAGGGAGGGAGGGAGGGAGAGAGAGAGAGGGAGAAGAATCGTCAGTATTTCCAGAGCAAGAAGTATCGTGCTTTGCTTTGCTCTAGCAAAAGCAAATTTTTTATGTGCAAGACGTGGAAGACAGAGATCAGTGAAGAGCAAGAGCAATTTAATTTTTGAACCTCCTACCTTTCATAAGGAATCCCCGTATAATCGTTGCCTGCATTTATTTTATAGTTATTTTTACTGTATATCAGATTTTTTTTTAAATCTTTTTACTCATCATTGGTTGGTACTTGGTAGACAAAGATGACGCTATAAATATCACAATTCAGAATATTGAGTTTGAATCTCTGCACCAAGATCTCTCCACGTATTTACAGAACACCATGCAGTTTAGCATGGCTCGTTTCCTTTTTTTTTTTTTTTTTGGCCTCTAGGTGTTAGCTACTTTGCTTATAAAATATGGAACTAGCAATTATATATATGTGAAAAAAAAACTTGTATCATTTGACTCCATTGGAACCCTGCAGAAAAGTATAAGCTCATATTTGGGGTGTCAAAATTGGGGGCCAGTTTTTAATGTTAAAAAATTAGAAATACAAATAGCACCCTGTTGTTCATGCTCAATGGTTTCTGTCCCACTCATCTTCATTGCTTTCTATAGAATAAGAAAGGACAGAGAAAAAAGTGAGCGAAAGTTCTATGGGCAGCGCCCAGGGGTATGATGGAAAATAATGAAATGCCTGTCGTTTCTGCAGAATTTTGTTATTAAAGGGCCTTCTTTACTTGAAAGAAATTATCGCGTTCCTTGTTTGCAGCATCGACATCATCCGGTGATGCCACTGCAACCGCAACCCCTCTGTCTTTGACCGACTCAATTGCTTCTGCAAATTCTTTGAAGTCCTTCAGGCTGCAGGAATAAACAGAAAAAAAAAGTATATATATATATATATATATATCAATGATCACTCTTCACATAGCTCACATAACCAACCAACAGAATAACTAATTCAGATAACGATAGTAGCCAAAAAATAATAATAATAAATAATCAGACAGTCTTTAATCGATAATGATACATAAGATAGTTTGGCTTTGTTGAATAAATGAAGTAATTCTTAAATGTGTTGTTTGTTGATAAAAAGTAGACGTGTATTTAGTTCATGTATCTTTCAAAACTGCTGCAAGGCTTTTGGTAAATTGTAGTTAAAATGTTGCGCAGATGTTCAATGATCAAAATAATAAAATGTACATTTATACATACATTTTAGTGTTTTTTTCAAAAATACCTAATAACAACTGAAATGATTTGAAATTTTGAGCAAAAAATAAAGTTATTACAGAGATAAATAAAATCAGTGAATTTAAAATTATAGTTCATTACAAAAAGTATTAGAGTAAATTTAAATAATGCCACAAAAGCAACTCTCGTCTTGCTTTTTAAATTTTACTCTTGGGTGGTAGTTTCCTCAATCTATTGGGACAACCCAAGTTTTAATGAACACCCTAACCCATTGGCATATTGTTCAATAATCTAAAAGCAACCCTCAACGACAATGTCAAACCGCCACTAAACAACTAGCCAAAATGAAATATTTAGGCCTTGTTCATTTCACAAGTCAAGTCACAACTTAAGTTTTACTGCTACAGTGTTTTCTTTCACAAAAATTCAAATTCAACTTTTTTGCTATAGTGTTTTTCTCTCACATACACAACTCAAGTTATGACTTGAGTTCTGAAATGAACACACCCTTAGCTTTTTAACAAGCATTATCATTATCGTTGTCAAATTTACATCATTGTGATAATTTCAAAATGCTTCATTTGGACAAAATAAGATGCATGGTTCAATCAGAACGAGGTTATTCAGCACGTAGATGTTGACTACCATACTTCATCTAATGCTCGAAAGCTTAATTCAGTGAGGGTTTTTTTTTTTTGGTACCTGGTTGACAGTATTTCTTCACGTCTCCTTTGTCTTTCTTCATCTGTGACTCCCAATAAATACCGCAACAAACTAGGGGGAAAAGGGAAAACAGTGACTACAGGTTAAAACTGTACTAGAAACAACAGCACTACTACACAAACTTGTGAGCATTAACATCGATTCCATCTCAGACTTTACCCAAACCCTTGGTCACTAATCTAAAAAAGTTTCTACCAAGAAATAAATACGTGGGAACTTTTCAGCAAAAGAAAAGGTGCTGCACGCTTACCTACTATAACCTTTGGCATCAGGAAGCTGGTACGAATCCACATCTCCTATGGTCCCAATAATGGCTTTCGTGAGAGTATCGTCATCCATTTCCAATTGTCGTAGGAATTCGGCAGTTCCATCATACACATCAAGTGTCTTTAATAGATTGGGGTCGCGATAAGACAAGAAAGAAAATATGCCTGCATGGAAAAAGTCCACAGGGTAAGATTCAGAAGCATCATTTTACGATTTCATCTCAACGGATAAACATAGCAAGGTGGCACTGGCACCTGAGTGAGTATCAAAGTCACAGAAACCACCATAAGCCCCACCACTAACTCGAACACGATCCCACAGCCATGTATTACTGATGTGTTTCGAGACAACATATGCACTTCCACTAAGCTGATAACCAGTCTCATAAAGATTACCTGCTTTCCCAACATAATTAACCTGTAGAAACATATGTAGATATAATTATTCACAATAAGAAGCAAAGAAAGGAAGAAATGGAACAAGAAGAAAATGGTAGCATTCACGCCTGAGTAGGTATCACAATTGCTTCATTTCCAGGGGAAAGACGAGCATTCCATGTTGTTGCTTCATAAGGAGAGCTGGCAGGAAGCAAATCAAGAAATTTGCTAACATGCTTCTCAGCACTTTTGAGATTTTTCCCTTCTGCAGTCATATTAATCAGGCATCCACTCCTAGATAGTAAGGATTTTCTTATCTCCTCAAGAGATGAAGATATTCCCTCCCAGTCTTGATCAGCTTTCTCTTCGAGAGTTTGCAGGAATTCCAGGTAACTACAGGAAGACAAGAACCCATGCCTTATCAAATTCAAAAGTAAAACTTGACACTAGGGGAAAGTTTTCATTGGAACTTGAATGTTTCACCAACTATTCATACCGAAAAATACATATATCATAACCTAAGGCTAATAGGAACAACGCCAACCCCTTGTCATATCAAGTAACAACGGAATATAGTGGTGCACTACAATGGCAAGATCCTAAAGGTGAACCTAAGTGAAGAATTAATGATATCATATTTCAATCAATGGAGAGCAAAATTGTAGGTAATAGAAATTTTGTTGCAATCATTCAGTGAGTAATTTTCGATCCTGCTTAAGTCCTTATGTAAATTGTATAAACCACCGGGCAGAGAAAAAGCAGCTTTGAGAATTTCAGCCTAACCTGACGCCACCCATTTGTTCAGAAATCCACCCTGCAATATTTAACTTCGCATCCATCCTTGCAGCTGCAATCCCATGGCCGCTGCCTCTTAAACGGTTCTGGGAGAGAAAAGAAACAGAAATAATTCCGAAATCCATTAGTGAAATGTTACACTTTAGTTACGTTCCTCTTTTCTCCAGTAAAAGTCAAGTACATACCTCCATTCTCGCCTTGCTTTGGGAAACAAATTGCTTAAACCGTTGCTGGTCTGTAAATTGAACTTCTTGAAGAACGCAATTGACCTACAACATCAAAAGTTCATAACATAGTTTCATGAAATCTTTATTCAATCAATTATTGGCAAGCACAAATTGTTGAAAAGACAAATGTAACACAAGGAAGACTAACAAGTAATCAGTAATGGCAACCAACAGGATAAAGGAAATAACATAAAAGATGAGGTACAAAGATTATGAATTATGTTGTTCAATAAACCACTTACACTCAGTCGCGTTTGACAACAAACTAATGAATGAAAAGAACCTTTTCAGAAGTTGAGAACCAATTTAGACCAACATAAATTGTTTAACAGGTAGATATCCGAAACATGTTCTGCTTTAGTGTCATTTAGCTAAAAATTACAACCAAACTTGCAGCAGACTACCATTGTGCAATAAGTTCTAGCTTTCACAAATTCTTCACATTACCATTTGAAATGAATTTCCAATTAAGAATGTTAATGGAGTAATTCTTTCACACAACGTTTGGTTATTCATTTCACTACACTTAAAAGTCACTGGTGCTCAGTATACCGCACTGGAATGGCCAGTAGCCTCAAAAACTGCTATTTAACTTTTTGATAAAATACTATATCTCGTCAGAAAATTATATATAAAAGTGGCTTTTCCACCTTTTAAAAAAAAAAGCACTTAACAATAGGCACTAAAACACAATAATATTAACTAGGCCATTGAGGAACAACACAGATTAAGCAGCCTTGAGCAGGAAATGTTCATCCAGAATAAACTTGGCATGAGAAGTCAGAAGAATATCACGTGACTTAAAGTATTGCATCTAAATATGTTCAAGTATCGAAACTTGTTTGAATTATGAAGATTTTGAGGAAGAATAATCTTCTCTATTTTTCTCATTGAATTAATCGGTAAACAATACACTTATGTACACGATTTACATAACCTAAGAAGATAATAAATCCCTAACAATAAGGAATAAAAAACAGATCCTCCTAAACTTAGGGGATCTGAATAGGGGAAATCCGGATTCTCTAATCCACGGATTTCCTCCTATAACTACTCCTAAATATGCGAACTTTAGAGGGAAATTCCACACTCTCCCTCAAGTTGGGTTGTACATATTGTACATGCCTAACTTGTTGCACAGTTCCTCAAAGTTCGGTCCTGGGAGCGCCTTTGTCAAGATGTCTGCAAGTTGCTCCCGGGTAGAAGTGTAGACCAACTGCACTTTTGAGTTTTCAATCTTCTCTGCTATGAAATGCCGATCTATCTCCACATGTTTCGTTCTGTCGTGATGAACTGGATCCTTTGCGATACTAATAGTAGCCTGATTATCGCACTTCAATGTCACTGATTTCTCAAACTCCAACCCCAACTCGGTCATAACTCTCCTGATCCATACTCCTTCACAGATCGTTACTGCTAATGCTCTTAGTTCAGCCTCTACACTGCTTCTGGAAACCACAGTCTGTTTCTTACTTCTCCATGTTACAAGATTTCCCCAGACTAGAGAGCAATACCCTGTGGTTGACCTCCTGTCTATCTGGCTTCCTGCCCAGACTGCATCAGAGTATAGAACTATATCTCTGCAACCATTTTTCTTAAACAATAACCCTTTTCCAGGGGTCATCTTTAGATACCTGAGAATTCTGTACACAGCTTCCATGTGTTCCTCCATTGGATGGTTCATAAACTGACTTACCATACTCATTGCAAAGTCAATGTCAGGCCTAGTATGGGAGAGGTAAATGAGCTTCCCCACTAGACGTTGATATCTTCCTTTGTCTACTGGAGTTCCTTCCTCTTCATGCCCTAACTTCTTTGTAGAGTCCATAGGGGTGCTTGCAGGTTTACATCCTAGCATACCAGTCTCTTTGAGTAAATCCAAGGTGTATTTGCGCTGAGAGACAACTATTCCCTTCTTTGATCGAGCCACTTCCATGCCTAGAAAGTACCGTAGAGGACCAAGGTCTTTTACTTCAAATTCTTTAGCCAAGGATCGTTTAATCTTCAGTAACTCTTCCTCATAATCTCCGGTTAGGATGATGTCATCGACGTACACAATGAGAATGGCCAATTTATTCTTGGGAGAGCGTTTTACAAAGAGTGTGTGAACGGTTTGACACTGAATAAAGCCATGTTCTTTAACCGACCGTGAGAATCTACCAAACCATACTCGTGGAGATTGTTTAAGTCCATACAGAGACTTCAATAACCTGCACACCTTATTGTTGCTGTTGCTTATTTGTAGACCCAAGGGGACTTCCATGTAGACTTTCTCTTCAAGATCTCCGTTAAGGAAGGCGTTCTTTATATCAAGTTGATGAAGTTGCCAGTCTAAATTCGTTGCTAATGAAAGGAGTATTCGAATGGTGTTAAGCTTTGCAACAGGAGCAAAGGTCTCCTGGTAATCAACACCATAGGATTGAGTAAAGCCTCTTGCTACTAACCGAGCCTTGAGCCTTGAGCCTTTCAATGCTTCCATCTGCCTTGTGCTTCACCGTAAAGACCCATTTACAACCCACCTTTTTCTTTCCTGGCGGGAGTTCAGTGATGATCCATGTTCCATTCCTTTCCAAGGCCATAATCTCCTCTTGGACAGCCTGTTTCCAACCTGGGTGACTCAGGGCCTCTTGAATGTTTGCTGGAATTTGAACATTATCCAGTCCTAAAGTAAAGGCTCTATAGGATGGAGAGAGACCTGCATATGATATAAAATTCTTGATTGGATGTTGAGTGCAGGTTCGATTACCTTTCCTTAAGGCAATAGGTAGTTCCAAATCATCTAAAGTCTGAGTCTCATGTAACCCTTTTTGTTCCGGCTCATTTCCACCTCTTGTGCTAGTTTCTGCAGTCATTGGATCCGGTTCAGATTCCTGGACAAGTATGAGATGTGCCAAGTTCTCAATCTCCCCCTGAGGTTGCTTTTTCCTCCTAGTGTATACTTGGAGTTCTTTAGTTACTGGACAGGGCAGACTCAAGGAGGGATTGGGAGGATTAGCCGAAGATTGGCCTGGACTGAATGGAGATGTTTCTGGCTGATTTGATGGTACACAGACTGGACTGGACATAGGACTAGACTCTGTATTTTGTGGCTGTATATTTGGGCTGATTTCAGGCTGTTCTAGCAAGGAATCCCAACTCCAAAGCTGAAGTTCTTTTTGTTTATTCTCCCCCCTGAATTTCAGTTTTGGAGAAATAAGGAGTTTTTTCGAAGAATGTCACGTCCATTGTGTCATAGACTTTTCTTGTGTTGGGACAAAAATACTTATAACCTTTCTTGTTTGTGGAATAACCAATGAGGACACATTTTATGGATTTCGGGTCAAGTTTACTCCTGTTTTGGGGGTATATGTGGATGAAGGCAGAACACCCAAAGATTTTGAAGGCAAGGTCAGAGGAAAGGACATGAGCATGAGGAAATATGTCAATAAGGGCTTTGACGTGGTGAACCAAATTTTAGAACACGAGATGGCATCCTATTGATGAGATATGCAGAGGCAAGAATGGCTCCCCCTCAAAGATATTTTGGAACGCCAGTAGAAAACATGAGGGATCGGGCTACTTCCAACAAATGACGGTTTTTTCTCTCAGCCACTCCATTTTGTTGGGGTGTATTGACACATGAACTCATTTGGACAATTCCCTGTTGTGACAAGTAGTCGCCTAGAACTGAATAGAAATATTCTCGAGCATTGTCAGACTTAAGAATTCGGATTTTAGTACTGAACTGTGTTTGGACCATGGAGTTGAATGCTTGAAATATTCTATCAACTTCTGACTTTTCTTTCATAAGAAAAACCCAAGTGAGTCGTGTATGATCATCCACAAACGTCACAAACCACCGTACCCCATTAATATTTTTTATTCGAGCAAGTCCCCAAATATCACTGTGAATCAATGCGAATGGTTTGATGGACAACAGGGCACACTCGGATAGATAGAACGAGTGTGTTTTGCAAGTTGACAGATCTCACAGGTAAAAAACTTTGGATTTTTATTAATGAATAAATGAGGGAATAATTTTTCAAGATACATAAAGTTTGGATGACCTAGCCGATAGTGCCATAACATGACTTCACTATCGTTATTGACACTAGAATTAAAGACAGACTTTGGACTGAAAATACTAATTGACTGACTCTTAGGAAGGTTTCTTCCCCCAACTAAAGCTTCTCCAAGTTGAGGTATCTTGAAGAGATAAAGTCCCGAGCACATCTCAGCATTGCCAATCCTCTCCTTGAACCCAATTCCTGAAAAACACACATTTGGGAGAAATTTAGTAACACAATGATGATCATGTGTTTAGGGACATGGAGCACGGATTTGAGAAGGATTTCGGGTGAGAGTCGAACAGATCCAATCCCTGCCACCTTAGACAGAGAACCATCGGCAATGCGTACTGTGAGATTGGTATTACTTGATTGATATTCATGGAAGAGAGACCTATCGCTCGTCATATGGTCTGACGCCCCTGAGTCAATAATCCAATGTCTTGAATTGTTAGCACACACGGAGAGGGCAGATTGTGAATTACCTGCTTGTGCGTGCATGCTTGCGGATGGGCAGGAGCGGTGTGCTGTGAGAGAGTACTACTTAGTAGCTTTTGGAGCACTTCAAGTTGTTCCTTGGTGAAGGGGATTGACTCGGTAGTGATTGGCTTATCCTCGGCTGCAGTGGCTGAATTTGCACGGCTGTCTCTGTCAGAACCTGATCTTGATGGCCTCCAATCAGCAGGTTTGCCGTGTATCTTCCAACACGTGTCCTTGGTGTGACCAGTTTTAGCACAGTGATCGCACCACAATCTTCCCTTCCTCTGTTGGCGAGAATCATGCTGATTTGAAGGACGTAAGCCACGAGCAGCAAGGGCAGATCCTTCCAACGTAAGAGATGAATGTTGATTGCCCATCATGACCTTTTTCCTGCTTTCCTCACGGCGAACTTCAGAAAAGGTTTCTCGAAGGCTAGGAAGAGGTTTAGTTCCCATTACTCTGCCTCTAACTTCATCTAGGTTCTTATTTAAACCCAGTAAAAACTTAAATGTTCTCTTCTACTCCACTATTTTCCGATACAGGGCGTTGTCTTCTGGGCACTTCCACCCGTGGTTTTCAAACATGTCTAGTTGCTGCCAGTGACGGGTGAGTGTGTTGAAGTATTGTGTCACAGTGAGATCTCCCTGCCGTAGATCGTGAAGGATGGACTCCACTGCGAATAACTCTGATGTATTTTCAGAGCTGGAGTAAGTCTCTCTTGCGGCTTCCCAAATTTCTTGTGCAGTCGCATAGAGAAGAAAATTCTCACCAATATCAACATTCATTGAATTGATGAGCCATGACATAATCAAATGATTTTCAGCCTTCCACTTTTTGTAGTCAGAATCATCCTTGTTCGGAATTGGAATCTCCCCTGTTAGATAATCCTCTTTGCCTCTGCCACAGATGAACATCCGGACTGATTGAGACCATTGGAAGAAATTTTGCCCATTAAGTTTATGGCTACTGATCAGGGGTGATAGATTTTCAGAATTTCCGGAATGTCTAGAATGAGAAGAGACTTCAGAGGTAGAGCTGGTTGTTTCGGGAGCCATGGCTGTGCCTGGCTATGAGGGATGGTTGGGAATGGCGGGCAAGGGTTTTTTAAGGAAAAAAAAAAAAAAAAAAACGGGGCTCTGATACCATGAAGATTTTGAGGAAGAACAATCTTCTCTGTTTTTCTCGTTGAATTAATCGGTAAACAATACACTTATATACACGATTTACATAACCTAAGAAGATAATAAATCCCTAACAATAAGGAATAAAAAACAGATCCTCCTAAACTTAGGGGATCTAAATAGGAGAAATCCAGATTCTCTAATCCACGGATTTCCTCCTATAACTACTCCTAAATATGCGAACTTTAGAGGGAAATTCCACAAATTATTAGAATTACAGATTCGACATGCCCAATGGCTTAAACTAACTGAATAATTTTATGCAATGCCTGTATAAAGAACCATATTTCCATGTCAAGAATGAATAAGTACCAGGTTAAATAGGTCTTCAGCACGCCCTGCCATGGCTTTACCCCGAACAATTATATGGCTACAAGGATCCTCCTTACCCCGAACAGATGATGTTAATGGATAAACTGACATTCCTCCCGTTTTCCTTCCAATTAACTGATTAAGTTGCACAAAAGTCAAGTCTTTTGTACCCATCTCCAGCAATGACTGACTGTCAAGAACAATATGAAAATCCATTTAACTCTATATAGAGAGGAAAAAAGTTTAATGCAGTCTATGATTACAACTACTGCAGCTGCTTCTAAGGAAACATGTTAGAGACATGGTTTGATAGTTTACAACTCTATCATTACTACCATTGTTTTTTCATGCAGAATCAGCTCATTTCTTCTTTGAAGTTATATGAAAAATTAGTCTGCAGGTTTAGTTCTTGGATATGAGCATTATGTTTGAAACAGAAAAGAGGAATCTCAATGTGCTATGTTTTAGCAATCATGTAGACATTTCAAAGTCCTCAGAGGACCAGATCCCGATTTATCTCCCAAATCCCAACAAACACAAAGATTATATGCCAAAATATCTTAAACCCACTATGGCTACAGGTCTTGCCAAAGAGGAAAAACCCTTTTCTAAAAGCAAAGTTTAATTTGGTTAACATATTTGCTAAGTTAATGGTGGAAAGTTGAATAAATTCAACTGAAAACACAGAAGTGAAAGTTAATAAAACGTACATATTAGGGTTAGGTTATACTGAAGCATCTTACCAAAAAAGAGGGACTAGAGGAAGGAGCTCTTGCTTGAGCGAGTTCATGTTGAAAACTGCTTCTGTGTAAAGGACATCATTGGTGAAAAGGTCGTGCTCTAAAACTTTTACTCCATTTATATCTCCCATCTACAGTGAACAGAGACATGAGTAAAACCTATCAACCCCAAAAAGGAAACCACTAGAACACTCAAAATGCAATACACTAGGTTGATCCTAACCTCTGTGGGAACACGTATGGGTTCCTTGGGAATATCCAGTAAAGAAAGGCTTGGAACAGCTCTTAAAGCTTCTGGCGGATCAGGAGTTTCCTGTTTGAGTCGCAGTTCTTGTGTAGCACGTGCTAGCTCAGCAAGATCTTCTTCTGTCATGCTTGCCCTAACCTTTTCCAGAACTTCTTTCTCAGCTGCTTCATCACGAGAAGCCTTCTCTGGATCAGGCTGATCCAATAATTTGCTTATTAGTCACTAATATATGTAAAATCAATGCATCATTGGTACACACAACATATGGGTCCTTACCTGCATCTCTACTGTAACACAGTGAGGATTGTTCAAAATAAATTTCTCTATTAGAGGAGAAAATACAGCTTTAGAACCTTCCTTTGTTATCCTGGCTTTTAGAGCCAATAAGGGTTTCTCATACTTTAATGGCTCAAAGGGATTCATGTCGTAAATCCAATTTCCCTATTAATAAAAAAAGGAAACCACATAAAAACAATAGATATAAAAAAAGAAAAAAATAATAACACACACAAAATTGATGCGCACTAAGATTTAAAAAGTATCTTACCATGGATCTGAGCATTAGGGACAAGCCCCGGGGAAACGATCCGGTGTTGTTTTCCCTAAGAGAGAACTCAATTGTATTCATGGATGCCTCCACAGCATCTGCATCAAAACCTTCCTCTGCTAACTTTTTAAGTGTATTCATTACCAACTCTTCTACTTTTTGAATGTCACCTTCCGAAACACCTTTCAACCCAATACTAAATTGAGGCTGAAGGAGCTCATCTTCTATCCCACCACCAACAATGGCATCTCCCAGGCCACTCTCCAGCAAGATTTTCCTCAATGGAGAAGCAGGAGTTCCCAACATAAGATGATCTAAAAATCCGAGGGTAAGTTCCGTTTCCAAGTCTAAGGGCTTATCAGAAAGCAACCAATTAAGGCACACCATGTGCTTCTTTTTCAAATCACCCCCTTCACCAGCAGGATATTTCTCAACAATTCTTACTGGCTCTGAAAATAGCTTTTGCGACTCGATCTTTGATTCACTCGGAGCTGAACTTGCGTCAAACATATTTAAATACTCTGACAAGAGAGCAAGAGCGAGAGTAAGATACCACACTCTTATTATTCTTCCACAATTCAAAAGTTACAGTCCGCATAAAACTTCAGCATGAAAACGATGAAATGAATGAAGACTGAATTGTAGTTACTCCTTGAAATGAAATTTGTCAGAAACTCAAAGGAGGATCCCATGACCCAGATATTCATAATTTTGTTTGAGAAAAATAATACATAATTGTTTAATGCATGTGAAAATAACAAATACTTAAGTCCACTTAGATGAGCTCCAAATATTTATTTTTACTTTATGCATACTTATATGACTTTAAGATATTTATTTTTAACCAGAGTGACATGTCATGCAGTATGAGTATCCAACCCAAAACCAAGATATAAATGGTATGACTTTGCAAGAAAAATACTCACTTTCCCTTGAGAGAAAACACAAGCTTTTCCAGGAAAGACAAAGAAGTCGGGCATTAATTTTTCTAAACACCCACACCCACACATATACACATGTATAGAAGAAAATGCAAGTATTACCACTCAAGATACGCAGGCGCTCATTTGGATCATCATCTCCATAAAACCATATCCTGGCATTGCTGGGATGGTAATATTTTCGATGGAACTCCTGTAGATTTTTTTTTTTTCAGGGAAAAATAATCTTACATCAAAAACAAAAGGTAAACAATATTTTAAACAACCATAAATATAAATTTAAATGGTAAAATCCTTGGTGTCATTTTTTGAATTCTATAAATAAATAATTCAAAGAAGGGATAAAAAAAATTAAATCCAACATTGTAATATCTATACAGGAATAATTTGAAATTCTATCAACGCTCATCTAACATGCTAGAACAACTATTTCCCAACTCCAAGCATCTCCTTCCAGTATTTATATAAAATAAAAAATAAAATAAAAAGAAAGAGAGAGAGAGAGAAGAAGAAGAAGAAGCATCTCCGAGGCAATGCTAAATTTTTATGCCAACGCCAAAAATATGGCATTTAGGTAAGAAAGCTATTCTCCAATATAATACCCTACTTCGTGCCAGAATTGAAATGTGCTATACTGGGTGACAAATATTGGCATTTGGTTCTTATTGGTTAATGTGCTAAACTTTTTCTATTAATAATAACAGCATATTAACATTGCATTTTTGCTGTTATTGACATTGCATTTTTCAAATATATAGAACTTTTCCTTTTACAAGTTCCAAAGGTAAAATTTAAGACAAAAAGGAAATATAGCATATTAGCATTTCAAATAGCACTATGCATCAAAACACAAAATAGAACAACATATCAAATATGTCATGTAGACACTATTTTTGTTTGTCAAATTGTATAGTATTGGCATTGGCATTGGCATTGGAGATAGTCTTAGATCAACACAAACCTTAAATTCTTCAAATGTAAGTTTGGGAATAACTTTCGGATCGCCTCCACTATCAACCCCATAGGTATTGTCAGGAAAAAGAGCCTGTGCCAAACGTATGTGTAAGTCAAGAAAACAGAAAAATAAACTGTGCCAAAATATGGAAAGAAATAAGACATTTAACAAACATAGGTATCAAACTAAGAAAAATCAAACCACAAAATGAGCTCCTAAAAGTTCCATGCCAACTAATTTCAATGTCCAATTATCACCATAACATATAATTGAAAGCTACAACTTGACATAATCGTAACATTGATGGCTAGCATAACAAAAAAACAATGAACTGAAGGAACTTCAGAATGCATGGTACTATATGAACCATTAATAAGCACTAGAGTCAATAAAATGCCCAGGAAGTGAAACAGGCAATAACGACGTACTACAGAAGAGGAGTATAATATAAAAGTTTGAAAATAATTAGGCTCATGGAACATTCAGATCCCTAGGACATTCAGCTCAATAATTTGTGGTGAACAGTAGCATTTAAGAATGAGTTTTGGACAAACTAAGCAGTAACCTGCAATTTAACCAGCCCTACTAAAGTAATAGATATCTGGAAATTTCTCACCAACAGAACAAATTACGTCTCCCAAGATAACGTTACACTGCTCATAGGAAGTGGAGGTGTTTTACATAGGTTCCAGTATGCAAGAATCACATAAACAAACAATTGGACAAGAAAAGCAAAAAACTTGCCTGTTGAGCAGTCCTCCCTAATATATTATCAGGCTGAGAGTAGACTCCTTTCATCTCATTGAAAACGACCCCTAATACAAGAACAGGATCACTTTTATAAATGGGAATGAAAACAATTTCATGATACAAAATACAGGTACATTTTGAAGATCAAGTGAGCTGCAAAGAAGTACAATGAAAAAGCATGAAATGGCTTAAGAATATCTATTAAAGATCCAACCTTTATAAGAAATTTCCTCTGAAGGATCATTGAGTTCATAATGCCAACCCTCTTGTTGGAATGTCTGGAAATCCTCCACACATTTAGGGAAAAAAACAGCATCTAGGTATACATCAACGAGATTATAGAAATCCTGTTTACATAACAACAACTATGTTTTACGATACAGAGTAGATGCAAGGATAACAAGGCTTATATTTGTAGCCCCTGCCTATTATCCAACTTCTTTTTACCTTCGTATTGGTGGAAGCAACTGGGTAACAAGTCCTGTCGGGATATGTGAAAGCATTCAAAAAAGTGTGCAAGCTTCCTTTCAGTAACTCAACAAATGGCTCTTTCAAAGGATACTTTCTTGACCCACATAGCACACTGTGTTCCAATATGTGCGGAATCCCGGTGGAATCCTTCCTGTGTCAACAATTATATATAAGAGCACAAGAACTTGGAGCTTCTTTGGTAGGATGCAAAAGTGGATAGGCGTGAAAGAACTTGTGGAAAAATTTTAATCAACAGTTGCTTGGTAGGAGGGAAAAGAGGAAGAAATGGATTGGGTAAGGGACTCCAAATCCTTCAAAGAATCCCAAATTTACTATCTCTCAATGTGAGAGGACTAGGGAAGGAAATCCACACTAAACGCAAGAAAAGAAAGATCACCCCTTTCCTCTCCATTTTCCTTACCTAAATTAATACCTTATTTTCCTTTCTATTTTCTTTCCATCTTAACAAACATAGCAGAATAAACAACCATGAAAGGAAACATGGAAAGAGTTTGCATTTCATTCTTAAATAATGGACTTTTATCATTGTGAAATTGACTCTAGCCTAGAAAAACAAAGGCTCCATCAGCAAACTCAATCAGCAAGATTCCAGTTTTCATAAGGAATTCCATCCGTTGCAAATTATATTAATTAACAAATACTGCTTAAAGCTCTTACTTGTCTTCATTCTCTATTTCCTCCATAAACAAAGAACAACAAGCAAGGAAATGAACAGAACAGGAAAATAAGTACTCGTCCAGTACTTACGGAGGTGTACGGAAAACAATGCCAAAAACCTTGTTCTCATCATCGTTCAACACCGACATGACTTCAGCTCCAGTCTTCTTATGCCTGAAAAGCACAGCTTTCGATTTACACTCTCCGATGAACTCTTCGGACACTATCTCGAATCCAAGCTTCTCCGCAACCTCATCCTGAACCTCCGAAAATTCTACACGCAAAACAATAACAAGTCTTAACAAGACATTTCCTTTTCCATTTCTACTTCGGCAAAAGTTAGGGTTACAGAAGTTCGAAATTTACCTGAGGGAGACTGAGTAGGAGCGCCGACGGCGCGTGGAGAGAGCGTCGAGAACCGCTTCTCGCGACGGAGCGAGAAGGACGGCGACGAAGACGAGGCCGAGAGTAATATCCAGTGTCGGCGGAGCAAGGAGCGTCCAGTGATGCTGGCAATCAAATGGCGGTTGTGGCGGTGGTTTCTCGGAGAAGAAGACGAAAACGACGAAGAAGAAGAGCGAGAGAGGCCGAGTCTGGTAGAGGAGCGGAAGGAGAAGAGTCTGTTGCAGGCGAGGGAAGAGCGCAATAGAGTGGCTCTCTCCATTGTTGAGTAATTTCGTAGCTTCCAAGCTTCCTCTCGAGACGAGTTGCAGAGTGACGGGCTGTGGTTGAGGACTTTGGGGGGTGTGGGAAATGAATTGGCTTGGGTTTTATCTACACTATTTGTTTATAATTTATTATTTTTATTTTTATTTTTTTGGCTTGAAATCCTTGCTTATGGTTTTTGGTGTTTTTTTCTGATCGGGACGGGAAATATCTTTGAAGTCTATAGTCTAAACGTAACGTGCTAGAACGAAACAGATTTGTACGTGGTGGTAAAGAAATTCTTGCCCGAATGAAAATAAGAAAAAAAAATTTGCAAGTTTCTTTAGCTCTTTCAAACTAGGAGAATTTTTTTCGTTATTTTTTTGAAAATAAAATTTTATTCTGTCTTTTTCAAAGAGAGAATTATTAAATTTACTTTTAAAAAGTACATGAGTATTAATTTTTACCATTTACTCTTAATTATTACCTTTTTAATTAATATAGTTATTTAATTAAAATAATATTAATTAAGAATAAAAAGTAAAAATTTATATTTATATTCTAAACAAGTATTTTTTTTCTCCTCTTTCACAATAAATAATGTTCTTTCGTTTGTAACAAATGAAATATATGTGATGGTTAGCAAAAACTGATGAAATATTTGTGATGAATGAGGCTGAAACGTTCACTATCGTCCCACCAGATATGGTAGTCTGGATTAGATGGTTTTAGTCGTTTGCAGTGCTTTCTAGACGATAATGGCTCAAACTCAATTCAATATTACGTGTATAATGTATGTGTGGACTCGTTTATGGTCCAATATCTTGAGTTAAAAAGGTTACATATTTGGGAATTTCACAAAGCCTTTAATTGAGTTCGGGATGAATTAGAGGAATACCAATTTTAAAAAATAGTATTTAAATATTTATTTTTAAGAAAAATTTAAATTTAACTTACGGCATAAAAATAGTACATATGAATTACTAGAGTTGATATGCTAACCTAATTTGCATGCCCTGTGAAAATAAAACAAAATTAAATTAAATTAAAAAAAAATCCTAGCAGAAAGGAAGAGTACCTTAACGGTTGGTCAAAACTCAAGATATAGGCAAGCGTCAGAATAATTAGAGCTTGTTCTTTTGCCTTTTTTGAGTTAAGTGACTTGAGTGTAGATTTTGAGTTAAATTTGAGTTATAACTTGAGTTGAAGTTGTAATTTGAGTTTGTGTTTGGTTGTGTACATTTGAGTTATGGTTTGAGATAAGAATCTTTTTGAGTTTGTGTTTGAGTGAGTCAAAACTTGAATTTGTATTTAGATAGTATTTTAATAAAAACTCAATGCTGATGGAAAATTTTAATAGGGTATATGGGTGTAGTTTTATTCGTCTTTTCGTTGTCAACGCATAGGGAAAAAAATCATCTCAATCAAAATTAAAACGAAAAAGTTATAGCATTTTTAAGAATAGAAAAAATATTATTCATTAATTTGAGTTCGAGTTTCAGAACCCGAGTTGAAGGGGAAACTTGAACTCGAGTTTTAGTCCCAAACTCGAGTTCAAACTCGAGTTTAAACTTAAAAGAACATAAACTTAAATAAAATTATAACTCGATTTATTTTTTTTCTTTAGTTTTTAACTCAAAAACTCATTGTCCAAACAACCCTTAGTTACTAATAGGGAGTGGTTACTAAGCTTCATGGGAGATCACGTAGCAAATGGTGGGAAGCCATAAAAGGACTCGATGAACTAAAATAAAGACTACCGATTTGTCTGCTTCCCTGGGGCAGGGATAATCAGAAACATGCCCATTTAGTGACGTACACAAATTTATTAGTATAAGACACGCATGAAGGGTTGAAAACTTATTTCCTATGAAATACCACATTTTTCCAAAGATAAAGAAATTAGTAAATATATTAATTTAAAAAAATAAAGAAATCATATTTCTAAAGAAAATAATATTATTATAAAAGGTTATTAACATGACAAGTTGACACTCTTTTTAAATGTCAAACTCATTAAATGAACTACATATCTGATTGAAGTGTGAAGTAGTTCAACAAGCATACTTTAAATTTTGAAATATTGAAAAAAAAAAAAATTGAGATCTCAATAAATCATGTCAATAAACAAGTAAAATTGAATTACAATAAGTTATTATCGACAATTACAAATACAATAATTCTTAATGTTTTAAAGAAAAAACGAGGATCTTGAAATGTGAATAAATTTGTCGAGAAAACAAATCAATGTCAATATTGGTGAATAACTAAAAGACACAAATCTAAGAAAGAGTTATTCGTGGATGTGAAGATTGTGGACCCCTACTATTAATCCAAAATGTTTTAGATACATAAAACCTGCACGGTTGAACCGAATACTCACACGAAGCAGTGCACATGAGTTTGTATGAGATTTCAAAATTCATTTCACTGATTTGAGTTTAGAATTCAAGTTTTGCTACAGTAAAAAGTTCTTAGAAACAATCATATCTAAGTTTTTTGCTACAATAAAATAACTCTCACATAAAATCACATCTCAACTCAAATTAAAAACTCGAATCAGCGAACTAAACGGGCCCTAATTACCTAAAAAGAATATAAGTAAACGTACTCATACATTTTGAAAGTTTGGTAGTTTATGAAATGAGTTGCGGGTGCGTTTGAATATTTTTCAACATTATATTGATATTTATATAAAAATTTTAAAATAACTTAAAAAATCTGAAACATATAGCTCGAAATTACGTGCTTTATTGTTATAATAGTAAAAATAAATAATGAAAATGATAGTAAATTAATTTATCCAAATATATTAGATTCCTTGTTATTTACAAAAACTCTTAAATAGAATTTGAGAAGATAAATCTCATAAATGAGATTTATTTAATAGATTGGGTATTTATAATTTCTCTTACCTAAAACAAATTGTCCTTCAAGCATTTTTATGGATATTGTGAAGTTTTAAACATTAGATGATCAGATATAATTTCTAGAAGATACTATAATAAATTTTAGTCATGAAGTTCTATATATGTAATGTTTGCATATTATCTCGTTACTTAATGTGCATCTCAAAGTATGATCAGATATAATTTGAATAAGATGGAAGGCTAAGAATTTGGCTACAAAGTACAAAATACTTTGTACTCAATTAAAGTTGAGTTTTTATACAAATAATAATCGCACCATAATTCTATCAATTTGAAAATAAATATGGGTAAAATTTTATTTATATATAGCCATCAAAGGTAGCCAATATATTTAACAAATTCTTCATAGCAAAAAAAAAAAAAACTATATATATATATATATATTTATCAAATTCTTTATACAAATTATACATATGCTAAAGGAGATGACGGATTCACTGTTCATGCTACAGTGAATTTACAGTGTCTTTCCTCTTTTAGCCCTGTAGATTTCTTCAGAGGAATTACTTATTCCTGTTATGTCTTGTTTAAGGACGGATTCATTGTTCATGCTACAGTGAATCTACAGTGTCCTTCCTCTTTTAGCCCTGCAGATTTCTTCAGAGGAATTACTTATTCCCGTTATGTCCTGTTTATTGTGAAGTTATTATATTGCCCTTTGTTTTAATTTTAGTTGTTTTGGTTTATTATGACCGTTTTGGTCATTTGCTTTAAATTTGGCTGTCAGGATTTTAGGGATTTATTCTCTTTCTTCTGTCTGTGCCTTTGAAGCAAACTTTGTTTTCTCCACCGTCTCTCCTCTCCATTTTTATATTTTTGATTTTTAGGCCTTCATTTTATTTCTTCTGTTTGTGCCTTTGAAGCAAATTTTTTTCCGGGAACTTTGTATAAATAGACTAAGTAAAATGTGTTTTTAAGTAAATAAACCACCAAAAAAATAAATTGGGTAAATAACCCAACTTCCACGTCAGCATTCCACGTCATCAATTATGGTTTTAGGATTTTCTTTCTCCTCATCCTCTTCCATTTCGCGCCATTTTGTTCTCCTAGCCGCCTTCAATTTCTCCTCTCTTCTGCTCAAGTCATCGTCATCGCATAACCTCATTAATATTATTATCTTGCCTATTCAACGTTTTTTTCTCGTCCAAAACGAAGTTTGAAGAAGAGCTACTAAGTAAGTCTTTTATTTTCTATATCTCTCATGGTGTTTTTCGTTGTTGTTCATATGTTTTTAAGATGAGAATGTAGTTAAAAATCCATTAAAATAGTAATTTTACATGTTAAAATACTAGTTTACATTGTCTGATATGATGAAGATCCGCCAGGTTTAGAAAAAAAAGGTTTGTTCTTGGTCGGTTCGTGGTCTGTTCTTAGTCTGTTCTTGGTCTATTCTTATAACATGGTCGGTTCTGGTCGGTTCTTGGTATGTTCTTATAACATGGTCGGTTCGTGGTCTGTTCTTGCTCTGTTCTTATAACATGGTCGGTTCTGATCAGTTCTTGGTCTGTTCTTATAACATGATCGGTTCGTGGTCTGTTCTTGGTCTGTTCTTATAACATGGTCGGTTCGTGGTCGGTTTTGGTCTGTTCTTGGTCTGTTCTCATAACATGGTCGGTTCTTGGTTTGTTCTTGGTCTGTTCTTGGTCTGTTCTCATAACATGGTCGGTTCTTGGTCTGTTCTTGGTCTGTTCTCATAACATGGTCGGTTCTTGGTCTGTTCTTGGTCTGTTCTTATAACATGGTCGGTTCTGGTCGGTTCTTGGTCTGTTCTTGGTCTGTTTTCATAACATGGTCGGTTCTTGGTCTGTTCTTGGTCTGTTCTTATAACATGGTCGGTTCTGGTCGGTTCTTGGTCTGTTCTTATAACATGGTCAGTTCGTGGTCTGTTCTTGGTCTGTTCTTATAACATGGTCGGTTCGTGGTCGGTTTTGGTCTGTTCTTGGTCTGTTCTCATAACATGGTCGGTTCTTGGTCTGTTCTTGGTCTGTTCTTGGTATGTTCTCATAACATGGTCGGTTATTGGTATGTTCTTGGTCTGTTCTCATAACATGGTCAGTTTTTAGTCTGTTCTTGGTCTGTTCTCATAACATGGTCGGTTCTTGGTCTGTTCTTGGTCTGTTCTTATTGCACTGTTAGTTTTTAGTCTGTTCTTTATTGCACAGTCGGTTCTTAGTCTGTTCTTGGTTTGTTCTTAGGTTGTTCTTATTATATG